ATATATATTTATTTATAAATTAAAAAAACATCACTGTAGGGTATACTGGGCAAATGTATATTAAACTCATTTAAAGAAATTTATTTTTTATTGAATAAATAATTTAATTTAAAATGCTTATTTATACTAAAATAAATTGAACAATGGAATATTGTCAGCTGCTTATTAATGAAAATTTGTTTTAACTTTATTATTTGAATTATAACAAAGATGTTCATATTTTCATTTTACAACTATAAAAATTAGGTTAATTTAACTGTAGTCTTAGAAATTCTAAATAATCTTTTGTTAGAGACAATTTATCGTTGTAAACTGGACAAAGAATCGGTTCCTTGGATATCGTATATTTTGAAATGTTACAGCGCCCAAAGCAATAGATTAGACAGGGAAAATTTATAGAAGCATATTTCCAGTAGAGTAATATGAGTCTGCTACTGAAAAATTATGGGCTGTAGGCATGAGAATCAAAGATGTGCATTATTTTCGTTTTCTTATTCCTTCTATGACAAATCTTCGAAAAGGATGGAAAATTGTTAATTGATGTTGTTGACGCTAAGGTTTCTAAGAATTTTTCGTATAAAGCTTTATTTCAATATTTCTTAAACGTCCACAAATGGCAGTAATGAAAAGAGATTGAAAGTGAAAGCTTTACTTCGCACTTTAAGCGGAAACTTAACACCTAATTCAGACGGTCAGATTATATTGATTATATTTTAAACAGGTTTTTCACACATTCGTGTTTCTAAGAAGGCAGACCTAATTTTTATTTATTTTATTTTTTTTAATTTTATTTCACTTTCATTATGAAATAGGTATAATTTTTTTTAACATAATTTCTTCTTCCAAATAATTTCGCTTGCAGTAATTAGATCTTTTTGTTGTAATTTTTGATTACTGTTCTTAAGAAACTTACTTTGATTAAGACTCAACTTTTGAACTTATATGTTCTATCACGCAAAAAGAATTCAAAAATAATCCTTGATTGCGATAAAAAACCCTTTAGCCTAAACAAATTTTTATCAGTGAATTAGATTCTTAATCATTAGAACACGGAATTTAATTACCAAAAAATTCTTTATTGCTTAAATTCTTAAAAATTCTTTAATTCTTAAATAAAATGGCTTTAGCACTTTAATCGGCCATTTATTTCTATTAAAGATAAATTAAAATATTTTTGGAATTGAAATTGATGTAAGAAAAAAAAACTTATTTAGCTCATTATAAAAAATTAATTTAAGCTTAAACGCCATCTTTTAGTGGAAAGTCCATTAGGTGTTACAAAAAAGTAAGGAACTTATTAACTTTTACTTTTTTTTATTTTTGAAATAACTTTTAATAATAAATATAATAAATTTTATTATTAAAAAAACAAAAGAAATACTACTAATTGCAAAAGGAATTTACATATTACAGCTTTTTAATGTTTCCTTCATAAGGTCACCAATTGTATTCTAATGTACTTTATCAGAGCTAAAGTTATTAACAAATAGAAACCTATATTAAAAGTGACGGTAAAAGAGTTCAACATGAACTTTTAAAATTGGTGGTATGTATACTTACTACGGTCTTAGAAAGGACTGAAACAAATAAAAAAAATTCCTTCGTAATGAAACAAGAATTTCAATCTGAAACATTGCTTCGTTCCCAAAATTAAAACTTGCATATTAAGAGAAATTAATGTTTAATGCTTTTGTCAATGTTTAAATATTAATGTGTGATTCCCAGAGTGTGTGAGTACGTTTTTGCCTTCATTTTTGACAAGAATTTTAAGAATTATATATTAAGGGTGATCACTATGCAGCGCCATATATTCTAAAATTAAATGCATACTTTCATACTTGAAGATTTTTAATTCTATTGCTCAGATTCAATTTTTTCTATTTAATAATTAATTCGTGTCAATCCATCCACATCTCCAATACAGTTTATTGTCTTTCTTACAGATTTTGACGAATCCAATCGTTCTGTCCAAGTTACGATCGACCAAGTCCGTTTTTGACTTATTTTTGTTCTTAAGATATGATCGAGACTGCTAGTAAGAACACAAATGGCAGTTTTCCTGTATCTTCCGTCTGCATTTCGAACAGAAAAGGCACTGATGTTAGTGTATCGTTAGCTTCTTCATCTGAAAATACTGTTAGAGATGAACATGAAAGGGGCCAATGGAGCGGAAAGCTGGACTTTCTTTTCAGCGTAATTAACTATGCTGTAGGTTTGGGAAATGTATGGAGGTTTCCTTATCTGTGTTATGAAAATGGTGGAGGTATTTATTTAAATTTTTTAAATGTTTATAACTCAGTATTATTTTTAATTACAATTGTATGCATAATTTTTTGTGTTCTTATGCAGGGGTTTAAGTAAAACCAAGATTTTTTTTAGAAATTAAATCATGATTGTTTTTTTCAATCATATATTTTTAAAAAATTAAAATTACGATTGTTTTAAAAAATGAAATTATTTTTTTAGAAAACAAAATAATAGCTTTTTTTTCAAAATCAAACAAATTTTTTTTAAATGGAATTAATTGTTTTTAAAAATTTTATTTACTAATCTTAATAATGAAATAATATTAAACTAATCTCTTTTAATCCGTATATTAGATCATTTTAGAAAACATGACTTACGAATATTCTGGTTTATATTTATATGAAAGAACAAATCAGGTTCATTATTTTTATATGCTTTCGTCATCAGTTCAGCTTTAAGGATCACATAACTTAATTAATGAACAATTGCGCACAAAGAAACATTGATTAGTAACATAATACCAAATATATTGTAGCGTATCTACCACTACAAAATTACAACTACAATTCACTAGTATATAAGACATGTTAACTCGACTCCATGTCGGGGTACCTTTTCATAGATGAAGGTTGACATGGTCTGTAACTACTCCCCCCACAATATCTTACTAAATGCATAGCTTATGAAAAATTATTTACCTCGAAGGTAAAATTCTTTAACTGTATTTCTGACAGTTAAATTAAAACCATGCAATTAACAAGCAATGATTTGTATTGATTTTATTATTTTGATTAATTGATTTGTTTTATTTGTTTTAGGAGCTTTCTTGTTCCCTTATTTAATATGTCTTGTACTGATTGCTGGTCCGGCATTCGTTCAAGAAGTTTCCATTGGACAGTTCCTGAGTTTGGGCGGAATCAGCATTTGGAAGAAGTTAGCTCCCATGTTCAAAGGTAGCCTTTCCGTGTTTATAAATGCACCATTTCTAAGTGCTTATGGTAAAAGTTATAGTTTTGTGAAGCTGAGAAAATCAGCTGTAAAGCATTGGTCAACGTTTTATTTATTTTATAATGAATCAAAATGTCCCATAATTTGTGTCGATTCAGTGGGTCAAAGGCTACACTAAATTTGATCGAATTCGAATGTGATAAAAATGATCGAAATAATAACTTTACCAAAAAAGTTTTAAAAAATATTTCCCACCCAAAATGAAAATTAAAGTTTTAGTTCAACAAAAGCACTTGTTATAAATAAGCCTCTCTTACTATATAAATTTTGAATTGAAGATGTAATGAACATGGCTGGATAGTAAGAACATAAGTCCGAAAAGTCCCCTCCCCCTCAAGAAAAAAAGAAAAGAATAAGAAATATCACCTAAAAACTCTCATTTCCCTCAAACTAAACCACAAGTTGTAAATGCTCTTCTCTTATTTGTTATTTTTTCTAATTGTAACGTAGAATATTAAAGATGTATCAAATCTGATTGAAAAGATATCCCAATTTGACAACTACAAAATTGAATAAAATATCTTTAAAAGTAACCTCCCCTCAAAAAAATAGTTATGGAGACTTGCCCCCTTGGTACTCCCTTGTGGGCACCCCTGGTTTACAGTAAGACTTTATTATAAAGAGAACTTAATTCGCAATAGGAATTTATAAGAAGAACGTTCAAAATAAGAATATATGAAAACTTTCCCGATAGGAATTTATAAGAATATCAACTTTAAAAATTTATTAGAATTTTTGTTATAAGAATTTATTAGATGATTACTCCCTATAAGAATTTATTAGATTAATATTCCCTTTATGAATTTATTAGACGAATATTCCCTTTAAGAATTTATTATATGAATATTCCCTACATGAAATTTAACATTTGGTTCGCGATAAGTATTCATTAAAATTATAACGTTTTAAGTCATGCTTGAAAGAATGATAAAAAAGGACCATTTAATGTCATTAGCAATCCACAAGATTAAATTTGTAGCTAATAAATACTTAGGTATAATATACATTTTATATTTATCTGTTATCAAAATAAAAATTTCTTGTGTGAGGAATATTTTACAAATTCTTATAGCTTGCATAAAATATTTATCGATTAGGAATTTTTTCCTTTATGTTCATAACTATGCAATAAAATGTAACGAAATGGGATTACTTTTTGAAAACCATTGTTGTAATTTTTTTTCTCGTTTGTTCATAGGAGTGGGCTATGCTTCGATGATGATCGTCGCTCTGTACAATATATACTTTATAGTTATTGTCGCGTGGATTCTTCTTTATCTGAAGTCATCTTTCACCTCTCAACTGCCCTGGGCTAGATGTGATGGTCACTGGAACACTGAGAATTGCGTCAATCTCAAGATGAACGCCACTTTACTAAACGTTACTGCTTCTGTGAAAGATACGTCACCCGTTGTTGAGTTCTGGGAGTAAGTATTTTATTTCTAATAACCCCTAAGAATAAATACTTTGAACATTAATAACAGACAAAGTTTTTTTGTTAACCAGTCTAATTCTTATTTTTTTTTTTCATTTATTTTTATACTTTATTTACAAACGTCGTTTACAGTAATAATATTAATTTTCCAATAGTGTGCTGCTTTGAGGAGAACTCCTCCAGACTAAAAGTCTAGGGCTGTCTGCTGCTATGGTAACAAGCGAGAGCACATTTCTAATGGGAGTGTCACGGAATAATGAAGGTGTCGATTGGTTTCGATCGGTCGATTGGTGTCGAAGATCAAGACAAAACTATTCACCAAACACTCCTATTCGAAGTAAATTTTCCTCGTAACCATGGTATCCGCCACGACGCCAGACTAATTCCTGGTTTGGAGGAGTTCTCCTGAAAGCCGCACTTTATTTGAATGGTAGTTTGTTATAATATATATATATATATATATATAGGTCAATTTAGATTTTCTGAGCTATTCACTAAAATTTAGGAAAATTCGTTGCGTTTGTGTATATGCATTTCCTGTGTGTCTACATAGGCGCAAGCCAGGCCCTGTTTACCCTATACCAGGGGTGGCGAACCTATATGCACCAACGTGCCATTTTTTTAAAAAATTGTTTAATGAGGTCATAGACGTGCCGTCAAATAAATTTGACTTCGTGATTATTGAGAAAATAATAATACTAAATACTATCAACTCAAAACTCTTTATTTATATTAAAAAAAAAAAAAAAACATTTTGCAATGTCTCAGTCATACGCATAATTCAACTTAAAGTAACATTAGTGTGACTTCTGCTATTGCAGATTAGATGACAAATAACTTATATTAAGGTTGTAAAATGTTAGTTTAACACGTTCGTGCCGGGAAAAGAGAAAATACTGGTAGAAGAACTATTTCAATATTAGATAACATTCGGGAGGAATTAATCTATTCTCAACAATAACAATTCACTGTAAGGAAATTTATCACGGCGAAGAACCAATTCAATATAAAAATTGCATCCGTTAAAAATAATTGGTAGTTATGGATTTTTATTATTCCCGGAAAAAAACTAAAAAATGAAATTTATTGTTACCAGTTTTTACTCCGGTGCGCTGCCAAGATGAGACAATCTAGCGTGACCCACCGGCGGGTCACCCCGGCGTGAACGTGTTAAACAGGACTGTTAATTTATTTTTTTGCTTGTTATTGTTAGCTCGTTTTTTATAGTTGTTTTTTTGGCATTAATTGTAAATTTTTTTGTTAATAATTGCTTATTTTTTATGACTTTTAATTTAATTGTTAATATACTTCATAGTGAACTTGTAATCGGTGGCGTGCCCAGAATATTGTGTCGCATGCCATAAATGGCACTCGTGCCATTGGTTCGCCATCCCTGCCCTATACCTTTTCTGCGCTACGTAAGCCTTTGTTACGGCATAGTTGCTGTGCTCTTTGTTTGTACTACGTAGGGCGTAAGTCAGGGCATGGTTATTGTGTACCTTTTGTGCCTACGTAAACGTAAGTCAGGGCCTGATTAAATTTTACCCTGTCTATCTACTTAGGCATATGTTAGAGCCTGATTACCAACTTTGCTTTTGTCAGGGTCTGATACAAGCATATTTAATGCGTTTACATAAGTCAGAATCTGATAATAGTGTATATGTTACCGTGTATGATCAAAATCAAGAAAGATAATGTCGACTTTCATCAATGAATGCCAACAATCACATAGTCGCTTAGGTGAATGTCAGAAATATTTGTTATATCCTATTTGATATTAATTTATTTGTTGATATTATAATATTTATTTGATATATTAAAATCTTCTGAGGATAGATTCGGAGAAACATCAGTGCACGGAGTAAATGCATACTGGGCAGTGACACTTGACCTTAAAGAAAGATTGATGTAGAGCATACCGGGCAGAGGCACTTAACTAGATCTAGTATATATTTCAGACATTTACTAAAGCGACTATGTGATTGTCAACATTCACCGGTGAAAGTCAACAACCACCAATTTCCGTCATTCAGAGTAACATAAATATGGTACTCTGTCTTACATTTTACTATACGCTGATTTGCTTCAATTTTGAACTGTAACGTAAAGACTTGATTAAGGTTGCAACAACTGAACACCATTAAGATTAAAAATAAATGGTACTGATTTTTCTAAAAGTATATTAAGTTGTAAATTCTGATGTATACGTCGAACTGCAAAATTCTCAAGTATGCCGATAATTGGAATGAGTCAACTCGCAACGCAATCGAATATCTTAGTAGATGATTAAGTAAATTTTTTTGGGGAAAAAATTGAGATTTGTCTAGGAAAGGTTTTATTTCAGTCTAAATTAATCTTAAATATCTCTACAACATTAATTCATTTCGCTTAATATTTAAAATTCGGGCATAGCATGGAATGGGGAAACTAAGTGACAGATCTTTTAAAATTTTTATAATGGGAGAAGGTTTCAAACAAGCAATCGAGAAACAAGTCTTTTGGCTACAAATTAGAATTCCTAGAGTGTCTCAAATATTTTAAATTTTATAGATTTCGCCGATTGCGGAATAAGGCAAGCCACAATCTTAATTTCCTTATTGCCAACTTAAAACGAGGTGCAAGTTAAATTCACTACCCTTCAATTTACAACAGTTTATAAATAAAAACTGAAAGTAAGTCATGTCGAAAGTTCTAGACTCTTAGAAGTCATTACCTTATCAAAAGGGTATAAGGCACTGCAGACGTAGTGTTGCTCAACTTTCGCGGCTTGGTACTGACATTGTGCACCTTAACCGTATTGGCACCGTCACTCAATGTCATCCAAAGATATAATTTTTTTTCTTCAAATTAAAATAAATGTATTTATTCATTTGGCAAGAATACAGATAGAAATAAATAAAGAAAGGAGTAAAAAGTGGACAGAAAAGGTAGTTGCACAAGGTAAGTTAAATGAATAAGTGAATTAGAATCTGGCAACGTGCCTCTCTGGGTGAAATGAGTTGATTGTCAAGGAGAAGATCTTCAATAAGGCCAGTTTCAAAACATGTCAATAAATTTATATCAACGAAATTGAACCTTCTGCTTTCAGATAACGCTCTGCGATGATTATGCAGACGATCTAAAAATAAATCTCTTGAATGAAAAACGTTTTCTTTAAAAAATAATTTATAAATAGTTGATGACGATTTTTTTAAATCTAAAAGTCGTATGCAATTAAATCGTTACTCAATCCGTTTTAAGAAAGGTCAATGAATGAGATTTGATATCTTTCTATTTTTTTTAATCTTAAAAATCAATAAGTGATGCCATTCATGAGAGTAGTTATAATATTTGTACTGATTTATAGATTATTTAATGTTCTTTAAGATAAGCAATTATTCGTTTTTTCTAAATCTTTTAATAAGTGTTCCAAAAATGGCCAACGGCTTGAAAAATTAAATAAATAAAAACCGGAAATAGATAGAAATTATCGGTTAGCCGCTTTCCGGGAAACTAATGTATTCTGTTTCCCAAGTTCCAAAATTAATAACGAAATTTGTCAACTGATAGCGCCGCTGACTAAAAAAGGTTTTGAGCGATGGTTTCTGCTGTTTGCCAGACTATTCTAACAGAAGCTATAGCACGCTGTTGCTGCGAATCATAATCCATTTTGAAAATACTGTTTGATTGTTTTTCCTTAGTTAGCAGCATCATCTGTTGAATAACTATGCAACTAATTTTAAAACCTGTTCAAAAATCTGGTTTCCAGAGCAGAATGCAAAACATTTATTTTCCTTTCAGTTTTTCCCCTTTACTTGATTTTTTGATCGTCGGCCATTTTTAGAATATACGATATTACTTCTTTAATAGTTTTGGTAATCCGCTAAGCAAAGGTGTTATAAAATTGTGTTTTGCATTGACAGAAATATTATCTAAAATCAATAATTGCAGCTGTATTTTATTAATAACGATAGTAAAAACAGTGCTCAATCTTTCGATTACGGAAAAAACAATTATTCATAAAATGACGAAAAACAAATATTTGGCAACAATTTTTCATTCTAAAAAATTGTTCTTGATCAGTTGTGACAAATTGAATTTAAATCGAAAAAGAAAGCCTAAATAATAATAAAAAAACATTGCTGAACATAAAGAAACTAAAATTATTTAAATAAAATATATTGAAGGGAATGTATTTTTTTCACCGACTTAAAAAACATGCATTCGAGACAATATTTTTTTATCACTCTCATTAAAAAATACTAATCTAGGCTTCGTTCATTTTCTTCTAATAAACTTGAAACTTTGGCCCAATAATGATGAAATCAAATGACGAAATTAAAATTTTTTTTTTCAATATTTACAGGCAAGTATAATCCCTAGTTCCGTCTTAACGTCAGGCAGGGCTCCGCTCCGGGTCACAAAAATGTTTCGGCTCCTTTAACATGCCAAACTGTTTAAAAGCTACCAAATATTCACACACACTAAGTTAATCATTTTTAAGATATATATATTTTTAAAAAGCATAACCATTATTATCTTCTATTCCAGTGTTTCCCAAACTTATGGCTTTTGTGTACCCTTTCTAAATTTTTCGTAACGCTGCGTACCACTAATAAAAAAATGAATGCATTTTTTACTATAAAATAATTGCACAAAAATTAAAAATCACAACTGGCTGTTGGTACCACTAATTATTAACTGTTAACTCTGCAAAAAATACCCAATAGAAAAATAAGTAACCATAAATTTTCATGGCTAGCTTTATTTTTAAATAAAATTTTTTGAAATTTTCGTTTGTTGCAAGATATTTCGCATAAGAAAGCGTACCCCCGCTAAACTGTTCCCGTACCCCTGNCAGAAATTTCATCCCCATACATAACGGTAATTTAACCAGAATGTTTTTCTCCGTTTATCTTTAATTACATTAACAATTTTACTAAATCATACATACACCCATACTAAATTTTTATTTCACTTATTTAATTACTTTTTTAATTACCTATCACTACTCTATTCATAAAAACACTTTCATTCAATTGTATATTGTACTTCTGTATACAATATACTTACAATATACTTATTAACTTTCGTGCTAAATTATTTATAGTATCTTTAATATATAGATTCATATTAAATTACATATTTTACCTCTTGTTAAATAAATATTTGTACTAGATTGCTTATATTTTCTTTAATTATTTAAAGTCATTCTTAATAATTTATTGTGAATTCTAAAAGAAAATTGAAATGGAATATTAACTAAGCATTAACCATAATTTGATTTTATTAAAAACTAAATAGAAAAGTTTTGTAAGGGTCTCCATTTTTCGAATTCTTATTACGCTTTTAGCGATTTAACTTGTCAAACAATCTCTTGTAAGTTCCAATTCAATTTGTATTATAAAGGATCACTTCAATTGATATGGTTATGTTGACGGAAGATAATCTTTTAAGCACTTCGGAGAGTTTGTTCTTATCAGGCGCTTTTATTTAAGCACTGAAAAAGAAAACCTTATCAATGTTGCCAAAGCAATCAGCTAAAATGACTTAAAACGATTTAAATGGTGAATAGATTTATACAGTTTTTTAACTTCATCGCATTCCTAATTATTTTAATTAAGCAATTATGCAGTTTAATCCTTTTGAAAACGAGAGCTTTATTTGTTTTCAAAATCAGTACATTTATGATAATTTAGTGCTGGCATTTTTTTTGTAATTTCACACTTATTCAAAATTATTAAATTTAACTTAATTGTAATTATTTAAAGTAGAAAATTATAGTTTTTTCTATGGTTTAAAATGCAAAAAAAAAATGCATTTATAGTTCTTTTTATGATATATTTGCTTTTAAATATAGTGCAATATAGTATAAAGTAGTTTAAATGTAGTTTAAATATAGTTTAAATAAAGTTTAAATAAAGTTTAATACCGTACTTAATATTTCCTCTTAAATATAGATTAATTTATTAGACTCTGAAGTGAATAAAATATGTATTTACTTTTTGTTTTTCTTTCCCTTTTTTAAAGTGGCGGCTTAAGAGTGACTCAAAATGCAACTAAAAGTTAAGCAAACACTTTCTAGTTTTTAATTTACAATAATAATAATAAAAAAATAGTAATAATAAAATAATAATAATAAAATAATAATAATAATAAAAGTTTTGAATGTTGAAATACTTAATAAAAAATTGTAATAAAAAGAATCAAATCAAAGTAAAATAATTATAAAACTTGATAAAACAAAATAAAAAATGATAAAACAAAGTGATAAAATTTGCGGTAAGAAGCTATCTTTTGGCGATAATATCGGGTTTGGCGAAAATGGTCGACGGGATAATCCCAAGTACCAAAATAAATTTGTGAAATAGTTTGGTTTAACTTAAATATAATTGTGCATGATTCTTAAAAAAATATAGCTGAGAAATAAAATTTTTAGTGTCTGTAATATTTGCATTTCATCTTCACGCAAGAATAATTAATATCAATACCTGAAGAAAAGTTTATAGAACTGTTTAAAAAAAAATAAAACCCATCCCAACAAACAAAGCCTAGAATTTCAAAGCAACGAACAAAACCGTGTTCATCAAATCAGTGCATTCAATGAACAGAAAAAGATTATTGCTTTTTTTCTCCCTCAAAAAATAATTATGTAAATAAATTAAATTAAATAAAAATAAATTATGAAAAAAATTAAAACTGGTCTCTGAAATTTTAAATTTTGACATTAGTTGCTCTTGCATTAAGTCACAGAAACATTGTTAATTTTAAAAGAAGTAAATGATACTAAACAAAAACAATTATATGATGTATCTTGTTTGTAATGCTTTAAATCTCATATATTTCTCAGGCGATATGTGTTGGGAATCACCGATGGAATCCATGACATGGGCAGTCTTCGTTGGGAATTAGCTCTGTACCTGTTCGCTGCATGGGTATTCACCTATTTCATCATATGGAAAGGACTTCATCAGAGTGGAAAAGTAAGAACAGATATGATAAACTTGAGGCATCGAACAAAATTTGCTTCTTATATAATATGAATTAGACATCAGGCAGAAGAACCATATTACCGAGTTAGCACCCCGTTAGCACACATGATGATATTGTTATTATTGTTCAACCTGAACTATGAAATCGAGTCATACTTTAAATCCATGTTAGAACTTTTTTTGTTGCTCTTGGTTTAGTCTGAAATATTAGATTGAGTCATACGTTGTTTCCTCGTTAGAACATTTTTTTTCTCCTTTTGGTTCAAACTGAACTATTAAGTTGAGTCATACATTATTTCTACGTTAGAACTATTTTTTTTTCTTTTCTTGTTCAAACTGAACTATTAGGTCGAGACACACGGTGCTACAGCGTAGGAACCATTTTTTTTCTTCTTTCTTCTTGGTTCAACATGAACTATTAGATCGCGTCATACGTTACTTCTGCTTTAGAACCATTTTGTTTCTTTTTTCGTCTATCCTGAACTATTTGGTCGAGACATACGGTGCATCAGCGTTAGAACCACTTTATTCTTTTCTTTTTGGTTCAACCTGAGCTATTAGTTCGGGTCGTACGTTACTTCTACGTTCGAACCATTTTGTCTCCTTTTTCGTCTAGCCTGAACTATTAGGCCAAGTCATACGGTGCTTCCACGTAAGAACATTTTTTTTTTCTTTTTGGTTCAGCCTGAACTATTAGGTCGGGTCCTACATTAATTCCACGTTCGAACCATTTTTCCTTTTTTTTTTTTTTTTTTTTTTTTTTTTTTTTTTTTTTTTTTGCTTTATATTAATGCAAATTTTTCTGCAAATTTTTTCTGAAAATAATATTTTGTAAATTTAAAATAATAATAATAATACTTTTTGAATAATATTTTGTTAGTTTATTTGCTTATTTTAAAAAATTAAGATGTCTAAATACAAGAAACTTATTTTTTTCTCCCGTTACCTAAAATTTATAGTTGTATTTTCAGATCTTGTGTTTTGATCTGTGATATTTAGTATATTTTAATGAAATAGTTTTTTTTTGTAACAAAACTTCAAACACCTTCTGTTATTTTTGGTTTCCCTGTATTTATATCAGCGAAAAAGCGTGCGTTGCGAACTTTGATCTGTGTCACCCACTTTGATTTTTTCTTCCTTTGACCTTTATTTTGCTTGTGTTGCATCTTCAGAATGTTTTCAACCCTACATTTCTCGATGCAAATACTTTGAAAACCACTTCTTATGATCCATTGTGCTACATATTATGATATGTGTTCTCTGTAATGTCGCAAGTATGACAGAACTTAGTGTTTTCTAGTGATTTTTTTTTATTGTAAGTGCTTTAAAGCAGAATTTCTCAAACTATGCTCAGTGAAGCAATTAGTGCACTAAGTAAGACAAGTTTAGTGTTAAAAAAATGTAAAAAATACTTAAAAATTTTTTTTACCAAAAATATAGGGGGAGAATATTTTATATATTATATTTTTTTGATATGATATTATCAACCTCCCACTGTTAGCTCGACGGCAAGGGGATTCTAACGCATGATCCTTTGATTCGTCTACAGCTGAGTATATTTTATGTCAGTANTTTGCATTATATTAATGCAAATTTTTCTGCAAATTTTTTTCTGAAAATAATATTTTGTAAATTGAAAATAATAATAATAATACTTTTTAAATAATATTTTGTTTGTTTATTTGCTTATTTTAAAAAATTAAGATGTTTAAATACAAGAAACTTATTTTTTTCTCCCGTTACCTAAAATTTATAGTCGTATTTTCAGATCTCATGTTTTGATCTGTGATATTTAGTATATTTTAATGAAATAGTTTTTTCTTGTAACAAAACTTCCAACACCTTCTGTTATTTTTGGTTCCACTGTATTTATATCAGCGAAAAAGCGTGAGTTGCGAACTTTGATCTGTGTCACCCACTTTGATTTTTTCTTCTTTTGACCTTTATTTTGTTTGTGTTGCATCTTCAGAATGTTTTCAACTCTACATTTCTTGATGCAAATACTTTGCAAACCACTTCTTATGATCCATTATGCTACATATTATGATATGTGTTCTCAGTAAGGTCGCAAGTATGACAGAACTTACAGTGTTTTCTAGCGAATTTTGTTTTATTGTAAGTGCTTTAATGCAGAGTTTCTCAAACTATGCTCTGTGAAGCAGTTAGTGCACTAAGACAAGTTTAGTGTTAAAAAAATGTAAAAAATACTTCAAAAAGTTTTTTACAAAAAATGTAGGGAGAGAATATTTTATATTTTATTTTTTTGATATAATATGATATTATCAACCTCCCACTGTTACCTCGACGGCAAGGGGATTCTAACGCATGATCCTTTGATTCGTCTACAGCTGAGTATATTTTATGTGGTTGGTGTATTACTGTGGTTGGTGTAAGTCAAAATTTGTACCAACCAGCCTCTGCTGCAATTCGAATCTCTGTCACCTCATTGAAAGGACGCTCTTTACCTGAGCCGCAGAGGCTTCCTCGAGCTATAAAGATCAAGTCGATCATTAGATCAAAAGTATTAATTTTAATATTTTTTTCTTGCGTCCAATACGTGAACGACTGAATCTCTCTCATTTTTTTCTGAGCCACCGCGGCTCCCTCGAGCTATAAAGATAAACTTCTAGCATCCGATCATTATATCAAAAGCTGTTATAATTTTTAAATTTTTTCCCCCCTTCCAATACGTAAACGTCTGAATCTCTCTCATTTTTTTCTGAGCCACCGTGGCTCCCTCGAGCTATAAAGATAAACTTCTAGCATCCGATCATTAGATCGAAAGTTGTGATAATTTTTACATTTTTATTTTTTTCTTTGCGTCAAATACGTGAACGCCTGAATCTCTCTAATTGTTTATTTATAGTTAAACTTGATTTAATTTTAACTTTACGGAGGCTTTGAAAAGTTATTGTTGAAGGAAAAAAATTATTTTTTCCCTCTTTAATTTTTAGTTATCAATGTTTAATGAATGATGGCCGTTTCAAACAAAATAACCTGGCTATTTTCAGATCATCTATGTGACGGCACTTTTTCCATACGTGATTTTAACCATTCTCTTGATCCGAGGGGTGACATTAGAAGGCGCAACCAATGGGATTCTCTACCTCGTCACACCTAACTGGGATAAACTCACTGAAACAAAGGTAATCTACAATTTCTGTATTAACTTTATTTTATAAGGAAAACAAACAGGTTTTGGAAAAACTTGCATGTTTTTTTTTTTTTTTTCAAAACAAAAATTTCCTCGAAACTGTGCGGCCGATAATCTTTTAACATTCTGCTCAAAATGACTCGAAATTCCCTAATACCTATTTAATCTGAATTTTCATTTTGGTAAGGAAATTATAATAAATACTGAAGTCTACGCAGGTGTTGATTATTTAAAGTTTGCTTTCAAAACATTTTATTTAACACAAAATCGTTTATTTATAGAAATAAAAAGCAAGGGAATACCTTTTCTTAAGAATAAAACACATTGAACTATTTCTGAACGGTAGCGGTCAGAACATTTCAAGACAAACCCTAATTCAATTTTTTTTTCTTTTCAGAATGCTTGTCAAATATGCATTAGAAATCGCTACTTATTAAGCGAATATTTATTTAATTGATTTATCCATGGACTAATTTTAATAAGGATTGATTTTTCTCAATTGTTTTTGTTTCATCTTCTCTCAAATGAATCAATCGTTAATAAATTACAATCCCAAATATTGATCCTACTCTTTAAAATTAATTAAATGCATTGCCATTTAGATTTGTTAGTTCTGTAGGATTGATGTAAACATTGCTTTTTTAGGAGATTTTTTTTGTTCCATTTTATAACCGTCGTTGAACAACCGATCCAACTTCTTGGGTTTACGTCTACTAATGTCCAAATCCGTAGCTTTGTAATTTTGAACCCAATCTAGAAGACAAGGGAACTTCTGAATCAAGTATTGAGAGAGAATCGAAAAAAGGTGGAGGAATTTTTTGAGGGAACTAACCCGCATTTGCGTTACATGGCGAGGAAAAGCACGAAAACACCCCATGGTTAGCCTGACAGCGAGGAGATTCTAACCCATGATCCGTCCAGGGCTAAAGAGAATAGTCCTGTGATCTCTTTAGCCCTGTGATCCGTCTACCACTGAGAATATTTTACGTCAGCACTGTGGTCAGTGCAAGCCTAATGCGGAATTCGTATCGACCAGCCAACGCTGGGATTCGAATCCGGTTTACCTCGTTAGAAGGCGAACGTTCTATCCCCTAAGCAATCACGGATCTTTTTAGGAAAAATTGTGTGTGTTTTTTGTTTAATTTTCATTTTTATCTTTAAGATTTGATAAATTTATTTATTAAATTTTTGGTTAGGTGTGGATTTCTGCCGGCACGCAAGTCTTTTTTACTTTTGGCATCGGATTCGGATCTGTCATTAATCTTGGAAGTTACAATAAGTTTCATCATAACTTCTACAGGTTAATATAATTATTTTTTAAATTATATTTTTGTATAATGTAAAAAGATAATTGACATCTTACTGTTCTCATAGGTTAGAAATAACACATGATTGATTATTAGTAAGCAAAGAAGATAGAATTCTCTTTGATCATCAGCGTAAAATTAATAATAGTATAACGCTATCTACTTGTAATATTTATTGATCATCCCTTCTAATGTTATTCTCTTTTAATATTACATTTCTTATTTATATTATTATTATTTAAAATTAAAGGGTTACTACTAGAAGCTGTGTTTCTTAATTATATTATTAATTAGTCACCTTTGTAATATTTTATGATTAGATACTGTTTTACGATTATTAAGCAATAATAAGGACCTATTGACATTTTATTAATTATTCTGTAAAATTGTTATTTTTAAAAACCCTCGTTCAGTCAAAATATACAATTAAAATAATGTATACAAAATAACTATTTAAATTTCTATAGAAATAAATATTAAGAATTTAGTTTCCTTTAACTAATACTTAATCTCTTTGGTTAAAAGTATGTAAGAAATTTTTATAGTGACTTAAAATGAATGAAAAAAAATATGATTTAGATATTACAGTGTTAACTAAGCAGAATTTTTAGGATTAAATTTTATAGATTGGAAAGCTATAATTGTATTCATTATGAATATTTTTCTTAAATGTTTTGATGTAACAATCAAGTTATAGGTACGAAACGAAAACTGTTACGGAGCAATCGAGAGACTAGGTTTCTGTCAGGAAATTATATTTGAATAAATAATTTTTGTTAACTATTAACAATTTTTTTTCCTTATTATATTGAAAGTTTTATTATCTTTCATCCATTGATTTTAATTTTTCTCTCTCGTTATTTAGGGATTCTATTCTTCTTTGTATTGTGAATCCTTTGACCAGTTTTTTGGCAGCAATTGTTATATTTTCAGTTCTTGGTTACATGGCTAATGTTCAAGGTATTGCTGTTTCTGAAGCAGTCAAATCAGGTTAGTATATTTATACTTCTATTTTTCCTTAATCTTTTTAATCTACGAAGATTAGTTTCTTATTTGTATCGAAGGTACGATTGGTAGTTAATTTGCGTTCTTAATAGTCATTCAAACATTTCAGTACAATTTTGTTTGTTTATTTCATTCCGTACACTGCGGCTTGCTTTATTGTTTTTGACTAGGAATAAAAAGGAACTACTGAAATGAAAGTACTGTAAAAGTCCTATTTAATAATATTTTCAGAACATTGTTTTTTTCTCAACTTCAACTTTGAGATGACAGAAATCTGAATTATTTAAAGTATTCCGTTATTTTTATGAAATTACTGAAGAAAAAAAAAAGAGTTACTGAACGCTTTTATCCGTAATTGTTTTTAATTTTCAATAGCTCTCTTACCTACTTGTTTGCAATTACTTGACAAAATATTTTCAGAATATTATTTTTTCTCTTTCCACTTCGAGATGTCAGAAATCTAAATATCGAAAAGTATTCCCTTATTTCTTTTTTTATGACTAGTGTTCGCCTCATTGGGAGGCGAGCACTCTAGCGCTTGAGCCACCACTGCTCATTACTTAGGTTTTGACTTTTTCTTTCTCGTCACACTAATAATTCGTTAGATTTTAGTAATAAATCTTTTTTTTTCTTGGAGTAAATAAATTAGTTTACGACCTGTACGTTTTTGAAAAGGATGTATAAACTCCGAACGTAACTACTTTCAGGTCCTGGATTAGCCTTCTTAACGTACCCAGAGGTTGTGCTGCATTTACCACTCTCTCCCATATGGTCTGTGCTATTTTTCATGATGCTGTGCGTCCTAGGAATCAACAGCCAGGTAATGAAATCTTACTCCAAAGTTGTTGTTTTTATCAGTATCGCCACATAATACACTATCTGGACAAAAGTATCCGGACACCAGTATCACATTGTGCTTTATTTACAGAGAATGGGTAACCCAAGATTAAAATTGATTAAGTTATTCTATTCGTTAGGTTGTAAGACTATGTTAAACTTGACTTAGAAACTTGAAATTACGAAGGTGAGTTGAAAACATGTACATTGGATACTTAATATACACTTATTAATTCAAAATTTATCAACGGTTAAACTTGTTACAAAAAAATTTCTTAGACGAAGAGAAAGAGGAAAGAGCTAAAATTTGACGAGCTGAAAGGGCTATTTTTATTTATGATTCTTAAAAATTTTTTTTTTTATTTCAGAATTTTCAATTTATGAATTTTTATGAATTCGTGAGTTTTTACATACATAATAATTAAAAGAAGAAACAGAAAGACTAGCTGATTAAAAATATTGTATCTAAAAATTTTTATATTTTGAAAATTTTAAAACTAAGTTTAAAAAACTTAATTCAAGAGTTCGAAAAAGATTGAAACTTTTTTCCTATTTGAATTGATATATTGACATAAGGTTACCGTTATTAACGAGTAAAATTACTTTTGCTTTAACTTTTATTTCTAATCTTTACTAAATCTAACATTTTTTTTTTTTTTGATGAGAGGAGGGAACAGGACATGCTATTTCCCAGTTGAAAGAAATATTTATATCAAATTATTTCTGTAATTTTTTTTAACTTGTTCAAAAAAAATCTTCTTTTGAGCAAGACTTATTTAAACTTGGGAAATTCGATAAAAATTTAATCTTTCTTGAAGATTTATAAAGACTTTTAAGCTTAATTAAATATTTTTCTTTTGGGGTACATGGTTATTCAATAGTAACTTTTCCTTTCCATGGTCTACCACTCTGAACGAAATCATTAAGAGTCTAATTTTATATGCTTAACGTCTTTTCTTTTCAGTTCTGTACAACAGAGGCGTTGGTATCGAGTCTGGTTGATGAATGGCCCTATTATTTAACCCCTAGACGAAAACTCTTCTCTTTCATTGTCTGTTTTGCTCTCTTTCTTCTAGGATTGCCTATGGTCACTAATGTAAGTTTTATTCCCTCAAATATATTTCTTGTTTTTATAGAGACGAAATAATTAATTCATTCATCGTTCCGTTACAGGGTGGTATGTATCTCTTCCAACTGATGGATTTTTACTCTGCCAGTGGAATATCTTTACTCTTCGTCGTATTCTTCCAGACTGTAGCCATTTCTTGGATATATGGTAAGGGTCACTCTTTCCTGAACTAAACTTTATCTAGAACGTGATTATTTCTAGATCTAGAACAGATTTGACTTTGGTGATAATTTCTAGATTGCGTCGTTATCAGATTTCATCAAAAATGCGACAGCCACGGAGACTTGTTTGTGAAGTCACATGTGACCTCTCCGACGTCAATGTGTGGGTTTTAAAAGGTTACATTTTGACGTTTCCCAGACGTCAATAAGAGACCACAATGAGACATTTAACTGTAGCAGTGATATCACCGTGAGACGAAGATGTGACATATTCATGTCGCAACTTTATGGGAGACCCTGTTGAGACGTAAATGTCACAATTTCGCCACACTGTGACCCAGTTGAGACGTGAATATGTTACATCTTTGTCTGATGGTGATCAAATTGAGACTTGAATATGTAACATCTTCGTCACATGGTGATCCTGTTGAGATTTGAATGTCATATTTTCGTCACACAATGACGCCACTGTGACACTAGTCTCATTTTGACGCCTGGGTGACAGTTATTTGAAAATCTTAAAAATATTTTCAAATAAATTCTATTCAAATAATTCAAGCAAATCTTTCAATTTAATTGTTAGGAAAAGGGAAATTTTGTTTCAAATAAAAATTATTACAAGCATTGGTTAAAGTTAAAAACTATAAGAATAAACAGATCAATTAATTTTTTCCCACAAATATATGCTTCATACAAATTTAATTAATAATAAAAAATATTAATCCCGGGTTGAAATGAGGTCGTAAACATTATGTACAGTGCGCAAAAATAAATAAATAAATAAATAAATAAAAGACCTATTTGAATAATTTTTGATCTAAAGATGTGAAGACTTCAAATTAATTAGTGCAGACGATATTTTAAATTACGAAATGAGAAATTAGAATAAATATATCTTTTTTTCCCGACGGATTCGGATTTCCGACCCTCAAAACATAGCTAGTAATCGCAATCTGAAAAATATGATCACAATAGGTGGCTCAGCAGAACGGTCCAAAGTTTGGTTCTCTTCATGTTATTTTACTCCTTGCATATCTATATCTCGAGAAATTTATGCACACAATTATAAAATCCGTTTATTCAAAGATAGTTCCATGCAAAAAATAACCCTTAGTAAATATTTATTAATATTTAATTTAATATTAGTCGAAAAATTTTTAAACTGTATGGTATAAAATTGTTTACATAATTTTAAGTTATGTAATTTTACATGACAAAATACAAAATTTGTGTGAAATCGGTCTAGCCGTTCTTGCGAAATCGAATTTTAAAAATATAACTTCTTGCACAATTTCTCCAAAAACTGCGATATTTAATATACGAAAAATTATAACTAGTAAATTAAACTAAATTATGATCATTTAAAGTAAACGCTTAATTATTTAAATTAAAATTTAGGATAATATATATACAGTTTTACTCACTTGAGAAATTGACGGCGAATGTTTCCAGGGCACAAACATCCTTTTCACAACATGAGAAATAAGGCGGGAGTTAAACACAAAACTTAGACATAAAATTCTGAACTGTATCAGTTAACGAAGAACTTGTCCAGCTTCATTTGTTTTAATCCATTAAAAGGCGACTGATTTATTGGCGTAAATACTTTAGATAATGAAAGTGCAAAAAAAGTTGAATCATCGATTCTTCATAAATGTTTAAATTTCGAACCAATGAATACGAAATTTTTAGAACAAAAACTTATAGAACAAAAGTTTCCAACATATAGAAAAATAGATTAGTAGGAATCGAAGAATAGAACGTAGAGGAATCGAACAACATTTTCAACGCTCTCAACGCAAATCAAAGAATTTCAATCTGATGAAAATTCTTTTGCCGAAGACTACATTTAATTCTAGGAGCTTTAAAATCAACTGTTCTAAACTTGTGAGGCACACTTCAGATGTTGACAAATTAATAAGAGAAAAAATTCAACCTATTTGAGCTTTCGGTTTTACGGTATTGGCAATCTCTTCGTTTACGTTTTTAATATTTCTGTTTCTTAATTTTCGGTTTTAAAATCGTTTGCTTTTTGCTATAAAATACCAATTTGTTGTTTCTTTCCTTTAAAAAAAAATATTTTTTCCTATGCTACTGGCAATCTCTCCTTTCACTTTTTTACAAGTTATAAAACTAAAAGTTTTATTATGTGCTTTCAAACTACGATTATTTAACAAATCTAAAAGTGTGTGATATGTACTTAATATGTACTTAAATATAAAATGCATTAGATTCTAAAGAAAATTTGTCGCTATTTGATACTGAAAAACAGAGCTTTGTTATGCAAGCGTAATATTAGTGCACTCAAATTGTACTGGAATAGAATGAAGTATTTTATTCAAAATTAAGAAAAAAATTTACACAAATGCGTAATTTCTGGATTGTTTGTTAAACAGCAATGTTTTTCTTCCTGTTTGATATTATTTTTGAATAAAATCAATCTTATCAAAATTGTTTGTGGCTATAATAGTTGTGCATAATTTACAATTTTTAACATGAATCTTAAAAAAAAATTTGAACACATAAAACTATTTAAAAAAGAGGAAGAAAAGATATCCAAATTAAGACCGCCGGGGAAGAACGGTTTATATCCGTAAAAGATGATTCGGAGAATAAATTATTGGAAGGAAAGGTTTTCTTCAGTACTGCTCATCTTCACAGTGTTTACAGAGGGGAGACTAGCGTTTCACCAAATTGATTTTTCAAAGCTAGTAATCTTTCAAATGAAACAGATTGCGATCCGATCGTCATCATAGGTATTCTGAAGTATGGTTCACATCTGATATACATTGGAATTTCACTTTAACTAAATTAATATCATTCAAGATAAAAATTTAAAAAAAAATTTATTTTCACTTCTCTGCTAATAAGCCAATAGAACAACTTAGTTTTAGATTAAGAGAAAGTTTTATGTATCGAAATTTAATTCTTTGCAGGAACGGAGAGGCTCTCAAAGAACATAAATACAATGATTGGTTTCCATCCAGGCACATTTTTGAAAACGGGATGGAAAATATTGATTCCGCTTGGAACTGTTGTAAGTATCTTTCTAATCGAGACATGTATTATTAGATCATTAAGGAATAAATTTGTAGAATGGATTAGTCAGTTATAACACTGACATTGGCTGAACATTTTTACTGTTCTGCTTCTTTTGATGAAACGTTACGTATCTCACCTGTTCATCGTAAACTTCAAAGATATTTTAAACCTCATTTATATATATACACTACTGGCCATAAAAATTGCTAGACCAGGAAGGCGACACACCACGAACATAAAATTTGCAGGACGGATAGAGCTTGTTGTGGTATGCCTATAGGCGCACTCATGCAAAGCAGGCTGCGGTAGCGACACCTACAATGTGTATAAAAGAAGAGATTTGACAGTAAGTTTCTAATACAGAAGTCCCGCAGTGGACTGATCGTTAAGACACGGTTCCCAGCAGATCACCGAAGTCAAGCATTAAATACTATCTAGAATGTNTCTGCGTAGGGACCGAAGGTGTGCGGTATTGGTCCTCGTTAAACTATGCTACCGTAAAGTGCTCGACTTCGCGCGCAGGTCGTCGGGCTACCGAAGCGGGGGTGCCATCCCCTCAGCAGAGGATCAAAATTGTGATGGCATGCCTTCGGATCATCCTCCGGGATTTTTCCCAGACCGTCGCCAATAGCTCATTGTGCAACTCCAGTGTGACGTAAATTAACAACAACAACAACAATCTAATACAGAAATTGAATTTGAGAGTTGCTCTTGGATAAAAAAGTTTTTGTTATGCCTCGTGTAAGAAGGAGAAATGCCTATCAGCACTTGTCTGAGTTTGATCGAGGTCGAATTGTGTCCTACCGGGATTTCAGTTTATCATACCGAAGTATTGCTGCTCGCGTTGATCGAGGTCCCATGACTGTCAGCAGAATATGGAATCGATGGGTTCATGACGGTCATATGGAACGCTGTGTAGGATCTCAGTGCCCCTCCCCCCATCACTAACAGTCGAGAAGACAGACATGCTATCCACATGGCCTTAAGTGATCGTACAGCTACGTCACGAACTCTGAGCCAACAATTTGCAAGACAACAAGTGTCTGCTCGAACAGTTCGATGACGTTTGCAGCAGCATAGACTGTCAGCACGGCGACCATGACTTCGGCTACCCTTGACGCTACATCACAGGAAGGAGCGCCTCCAATGGCGTAATCAACGACGAACCTGGACGTAGGAATGGCATGACGTCATCTTTTCAGACAAATCCAGGTTCTGTATACAGCACCATGATGGCCGCATCCGTGCTTGGCATATCGTGGAGAACGCCCATTGGCAGCTTGTATTCGACATTGTCATACTGGCCCATCACCTGGAGTAATGGGCATGGGGTTCCATTGGATACACGTCTCAATCGCCTCTTGTCCGCATTATCGGCACTTTGAACAGCAGCCGTTACATTTCTGATGTGCTAGGACCAGTTGCGCTGCCTTATCTTCGAGGCCTCCATAACGCTACGTTTCAACAGGACAATGCCACGTGTTGCCCGTACTGTCCTAACCTTCCTTGACACAGAACATGTTCGCCTGTTGCTCTGGCCAGCACATTCTCCTGATCTCTCACAAATTAAAAACGTCTGTTCAATGGTTGCCGAAAGACTGGCACGCCACCACTCGTCAATCACTACGGTTGCTGAATTGTGGCATAATGTTGAAGCTGCATGGAATGCTGTACCTGTCCATGCTATCCAATCTATGTTCGACTCGATTCCCAGGAGAATAACTCCTGTTATTGATGTTTTATTTTACAACTATCGTGAACAGGCGACCCAATTTTTGGTTTACGACTGCCAATGTTCAACTCCGTGTCCATGTAATTTTAAACCCAATCCAGAAGGCAAAAGAACTCGAGGAATCAAGTATCGGGAGAAATTTGCCCTCGTGAAGGCTTTTTTTTGATGGGATTAACTCGCATTTGCGTTACATGGCGGGGAAAACCATGAAAACCTCACATGGTTAGCCCAACAGCAAGGGGACTCTAACCTATGATCCGTCTACCACTGTGGATATTTTACGTCAGGAATGTAGTCGGTACAAGCCGGGTGTGGAATTCGTATTATCGCTGGGATTCGAACCCGGTTCACCTCATTGGTGGTGAACGCTCTATCTCCTGAGCCATCACGGCTGATATAATTTGTCTTTTCTACAAATTTTCTCTTCCAACACATTAACTGATCAATAATCAATCTTTTGCAGGGTATATTCTTCTTTTCCATTGTTGACTACTCCCCCCTTGTCTATGCTCAAGTGTACAGATATCCTTGGTGGGGTGAAATGATGGGATGGCTCATTGCCCTCTCCTCCATGATCTGGATCCCTGGTTACATCATTTACTACATCTACACAGCACAGGGGACACTCAAACAGGTAAAACTGCTTTCTTAATAGGATATAATAAGGATCACTGATTTAAGTGCCTCTTTCTAAAGGCCTGTTTGCACGGTCCAAGTTCTTGAATCCGAGAAATTGAAGGAATTTCTCTGTCCAAGAAATTGAATGATTCGTCGACATTATCCAAGTTCTTGAATGTCACTGATTGGTCGAAAGAAAAACTTGCGCATGCGCATTGTTCATATCCAGCATTATAAAATAATGCTTACATTAAGTTTAAAATTACTAAATAAATTCAAATAAAATCATAATAACACAAATAAACCGTAACAGATCAATTTATTTGGACTAAAATATATGAAAACAGACAACAAAATGACATAATCTGATGCCTGCTTGTTGACATCACAGAACCTAAGACGCTGATTGGTTAAGGGAGAAAAGACTTGGATGGAAAGTAGAACATGCTCTATGATAGTCCAAGGACTTGGATCAAGTACTTGAATGATCGATCCAAGCTCAAAGCAAAACAAGTTTCCATTAATATCAATCAATCTTCGTCCAAGAACTTGAATCGTCTAAACAGGCCTTAAGCATCCCTTTCGAGCCGACTGTCACATATATGTGACAGCAAGAAACGCGCTCACTTCCCGGCCGACACACCCGCGTGTCAGAGAGTTTTCTCGTTCTCCCCAGACCGTCACATATTTGTGCCAGCGTTTCGGAACGTTTTAAAAAATGAAATTTCTTCCAAAAGATGGCATTGTATGTCCATATGGTTTCAGATACATGTAGATTTGACCTTCTACTCAAGATGAAAGTACATTCACGTGGTTTTTAGGGGAAGGAGAGGAGGGGGGGAATGTTTTATGAGGGCTCTTTAAATTAGCACGTGATATTTATTTACAGTAAGTAAGGGAGTTTTTTTTATCTCTCGCTACTTTCGATTTTCGGATTAGTTTTTAGTGGATAATTAGATCTTGTAGGCTTGAATTTTTTTTCTTTTTACCGTTAGAATGTCGAAGCGTCGAAAATTTTTAACTGAGCTGGAAATAGAGGAAATTATGCGAAATATTTAAACTTATTAATATTTATATTACATTTAAACAAGAAATAACTTAAGTAAATAAAGTATCCATAGAAATATATATAAAGCATATGTCACTTAAATACTCTACAGAACAATATTAAACAACGCGCTGATATTTCGGTAATTTCATGGAATTAGGCTTAACATCGAAAAACCCTCCGGCCCTGGGGAGACACACGCTAGAGAGACTGCCGGCCTCAGCGGTAAGCGCGCTTTCGCGCTTTGCGTCGCGAAAGGGTTAAGCATCTAATCAAAAATTTAAACTAGACTTGGTTACAAACAATGTATGTAAACCACACCCTAAAGAATTTACTTATAATAATGTGTAAAAATATTTTTTTGATGTAGGTTTTATTTTTAAAAAGTCAATTGTCTTAATTCGATGATACTCTTAAAAAAGACATATTTGATTTAAATCAGTGATCTTTTTAAAAAAAAATTGAAGTCATTTATGTCGTTATTTTAATGATTTAAATCAGGGCTGTCCTACTGCAAAGAGATCACGGGCCAGAATTCCGGTCACTGATCACCTGGCGGGCCGCAGTTTGAAAAAAGTTGGAACAGTAACCTCTTACCTCTTATACAATAACAATCAATAGTTGAATTATTAATTATAAAACAATGGAACAGAAGGATTATAAAACAATTTGCTTACATTTTAATGGGAAAACAGAGGCCGATCAGCCTAAATAAGAAGTTGGCGGGCCGCCAGTTGGACAGCCCTGATTTTTATCATGCTATGAATTATAACCATATATAGAATAAAAATTGTATACGTTTAAGAAGGCTAGGAAAAGTCATTGAAATTTTTTTTTGTTAATACGAGTAGTTCAATTTACGCATTTGACTAAACTAAAATTTATAAGTAAAAATTATAGATTAGAACAGATTAAACATGAATAAAAAATTAACTAACAGCATATTTCTGATTAAACAAAATTCTGTTAAAGTAGGAAAAAACGAAGAAAAAAATTAATATCATTTGTAGAATACTAGTTGAAGCATTCTCAATTAACCACAGTTAATTACAATATATGAGTTATAGCATATAACAATATATTTATTACAATATAATTAATTTACAATATATGAGTTATCTCAGTGCAAATGAACGAAACATAGTGTGAAGATAAACGATATGAAGCACTTAAACAAGTACTAATTGCAATATAATAAATAAACATCAAATGTTGTTGTTGCTGTCGTACGTCATTAAGGCAAGAGGTACGATTGTTCTTGTTTTCCAGTGTCGCCATCTATGGCTAAGATTTCAACTTCTACCACAACCATACCTCACATCCGTTATCCATTATAGAGCGAACCCACTTTTACGTCCATTCATTCATCCACAGAACGTAATTTTGAACTGAACCAGAGAACGATTAATCTCCAATTCAGTACCCCCAGATGTGTAATTTGTTATGGGAATATGGAAAACTTTGTGACCAGACAGATTTTATATTATATCCGTCGTTGAACAGCTGACCCAATTTTTGGGTTTACGACTACTAATGTTCAACTCCGTAGCCTTGTAATTTTTAAACCAATCCAGAAGACAATGGAACTCCTGGATCAAGTATTGGGAAAAGTTTGCCTTCGTGAGGGACTTTTTGATGGAACTAACCGGCATTTGCGTTACATAGAGAGGAAGACCACGAGAACCTTCCACGGTTAGCCATCGCCAAGATCGAACCCCGGTTCACCTCATTGGAAGGCGAAAGCCCTATCCCCATAGCCATCGCGGCTCGACCCGACAGATTTAACGTGCACCGGTCACCATTTACTACATAGGGAGTCTTCCGTCTGCTGAATTCGAACCCCCATTCTCACGAGCGAGAGGCCAGCGCCCTGTATTTTAATAATTTAAATCATGCTGTCTGTAAATAAATAATCTTCGAAATTAAATGATTTTTCTTATTGCAGAGAATTCAAAATGGCCTGACACCAGTACTGGACAGAGATGACAACAATCCTCCATCCATGGTTAACATACAACTACAGGAGAATACTTATGTGTAGACAGATGTGCTTAAGTTCATATAGCTTTATTATGTTTGAAGAAGAAAAAAAAAGGAAACTGTGATGTGCTTTTTTTTACAAAAAAAGGTTTACTGTGATGTAAACATTCCATGCAGCTGATAGCTGATGGGCGAGCCAAGTAAAGAAATGTGTATTAAACTTTATCATTGAAGCACTAATATCATGCTATTTATTCATATTTATTTTGTATATAGTGACACTGGGAGAGAAATTGCAGCTCATTTCATGTTCTTCACAAAATTATTCTCGAGTAGCGCTGAACGCTGTACAGCTGATATTTATACATACCTCGATATCACGAACTCCGATAACTCAAATTTTTTCATTACTATCAAAAGTAATAATAAATCTCATTCGCTTTGCTGGGAATAGAAAATATAAGCTATTATAATGTATCAAGCTATATTAAGAAGCAGTTCTTAGTTTTATTAAACCAACAACTCTGTTGATCTAAAAATTGTTATTCTAATTTTATCGCTTGCTTTTTTATTATTTAAATATTTTTATGTGCTTAGTTTATTTTATTCATGCTTTTGCTAGCCAATTATTTTTTAATATTTTCAGACTTTTATACTATTTTAACCCAATGTATTTTTCGGAATATTTAAAATGATTAACAATAAGAAAAAGGAGACCAACAGAAAAGAATGGTTCAATGGCTCTGCAAGGGCTGTAGTGCCAGGAGGATGAAATTTTTTCAGTGATTTCCCCCCTTATTCCTGGTATCTGTAGATAAAAAATAAATCATAAAATAGCTAATTTGATGTATAGTAAAGAAACTTGTCTTACGTGGCAAAACGATTGGGTAGAATCAGAAAGGGAGCAAGTTGACGGAACAGCAAGCGAAGGAGTATTAAAAAGGAAGTGAAGTTGATGCAATTTTTAAAATGCCATTTGGCTAAATTGTAAAAAAAAAAAAAATAATTGAGAGGAATCTTCCTTTGAGTTCGTGATATCGAAATTTGATTGCACAATTTAAATAAGTTTTACTTAGTGAAAACGCTGCAATGCTTATGACTTGAGTTTTCACACAGTCAATAGCTGTTCTTTGTAAAAATAAAAAAAAATAACAATAATGTATTTAACCTTTTAATTTTCTTAAGACGCAATTTAAACCGTATATACTAGAGTTCTATAATATTTTTTTCAGAAATTCTCTGAAATTAAACGGTGTGAAATATGTATTGGTGTCAAATAAATAAGGAGAGGGTATACTTCGTGATACATAGTACAAATAAAGGTACCGAAATGGACATACTATAGTTTCGATTCTGTAAACAAGGAACCTTCATTACCATTGTGCTTGTCTCTTTTTATGTTTAGACACTAATAAAAGTTTTTGTTTATACAGTCTCAGAAATTAAACGCTCACATTTGTCGATTCAGCAATCTTTGTGCTGAATTTCGTTAGTTTTGAGAATTATTCCGTCACAAAATCACGTGATTTATGACGAAACGCGAACTTTCAGATATATGACGAAAATGTTTCCTCGATTACGGAATCTCATTGTTGGGCGTTGTGAGAGATTTAAGACTAAACGATCGAAACTAAAGGGATGATCAAGCTGACCGGCTATATAGTGGTCAAAGAGTTGGCCTCGTTAGTACCAGGGAGATCCCGGGTTCGTATCCCGCTACTGGCATAGGTGAAATAAATCTCAGTCTTTTTTATGTTGTTTGGGTGACATTAATCCACCTATATGGTGTCCATATAGGTGTTCCATGATAAAGTGATAATTAGATACGATAGGCTCCGCTACGAGGGTTATTATTATTATTTTTCGGAAAAAAGTAGAATGACGAAATATTTCTTTAATTTTGACAAAATTCATTTCCTCGTCACTTTGACGAAATTTTTACTCGGAGCATATACCAAGAAACGGTTTCATCAAAAACGCAGAAAGTTTCTTGAAATTTAAGCACTCATTTTTCACCGTGTAGAACCAAAAATGTAGTAAGTCTATTTCAGAACCTTTGTTTGTAATTTATTCACATTGTTTTTCATTCAATCGTATATCAGCATTTTCCTAATAATTTTCCACCCACAGAAAATTTTATTAAATTAAATTGGAATTATTCATGAACAATAAAAAAGCTTAAATTATTTAAATAAAAAAGCTTTTTTTTAATTTAAATAATTATATTTCTAATAATATTAAATACTTCTCGAAAAACAAAATATCAATGAAATATCAATGAGAAAGATGAACTGGTTTGACATGCGGCATTAAATACACGTTTTGACAATAGGTTTAGTGAATCAATGTTTTTAATGCTATTATTGAAAAGTGAAATGGTTGCTGAATATTTTCTTTCCAAATTACTTTATGGATGACAAGTATTCTGTATTTTTTAATTTAGTTGATAATAAATGTGCTATTTTATTACTTGTAACTAAACGGAGCCAACTTGTAAGATATTTTCGTTGATATAGATCTAAATTATGCTTTGCTGCTTCAAATCTAAAAGAGCTTTGTTATTTATGTGCTGATGATTATTAAATTGAAATAAAGTAGATTTGAAAATCCACCTTATAGCATGGAACCCTTGTTGAATTGATTTTAATTAATAGAAGTTAAAAATATTTTATTTTACATTTTAAAGAAATTATACACAAAACTTTTTCTCAACTGTAGAGATTTTTTTGACTGCAAGGAAATTTCTTTATCTTTGGAATTCATAATTAATGTTGATAAAACATTTATTTTTCATACTAGTATTTAAATAAAACAAAATCTCCTCTATTTTAGTAAACAAAGTTTGTATATTTTGCATATTTTTGTATTTTTTTCATATTCAAATGATGTATTCTTGTAAATAATACTTGATGTAATGTAGCTAATTGTTTATATAGTCATATAGTCTGTGTTTGAAGGATATATTTTTTCACAATATATATGGGTAATTCTTCAGAAATTGTGACATTTAACAGTGATAATTTATGAAAAAAAAGCATTATTCTACACGCATTTTGGTGCATGATTTGTGAATGTTAAAAATGAAGCAGGTTTATCTCGTCAAAATGTTAAAATTAAAGTAATTGTGTAAATGAAGAGAAGGAAAAATTGCCGGCATGAATATTAAGAAAACAATGAGGTTTTAAGGAATAAGGTTTAGGGAAACAACGAATAAGGTTTTGAGGAAACAATAACAGAAGTGACAAAATGTTAGAAAATATTATTCTGCCTAAACGATTGGTTATAATCTAGTAATTATCGATATCAGTTAGCTAAATTCTTTATGGTGAAATAAAGATTAGTCTTTAAGAGAAAAATGAAATATGGTTGAGAGGAAACGATTAACAAAAGTGTGGTGTGCTGAAGTTGATTTGGTTGCAAGACTCAAGAACCTTTAATCTGACCTGCATAAAAAGAATCTCGTGAAAAATTATTTTATCTCCGTTGGAATTAATTTGTAACCAGTTAGTAGTTATTTTAATAATGTTTATTGTAAAAATCTGTTATGAAAAGTGAACTTAGATACATTTTTCTTCACAGTAAAATATCTGATTAGAAGGTTACAGGAAGAAATTTTTTTTTAAATCCATAACATTGAGGTGTCAGTCATAATATTTATATTAAAAATTTGATTGAATCTGTGATTAAAAAATTTCGATAACTTTAAAAAAAGGAAAACAGATTAAATGAAGGCAAATTTGTCACAATTTCTGGGGAGTAATAATATATTTATATATCATAATACATGAATAAGAAGATGTTAAAAAGTTTTCATTAACCTCCTGAATAAAACTTATTTTTATAACATTGTAGTATCTGATTCATATTCTAAGTTTTTTCTTGTGTTCTAACATCATTTTTTCAACAAATTTTTTTTAGAAAATTGTTATTATTGACTTGTCTTCATTTCCTTTATATTACTTTCTGCATGTGTGTGTTATATTTTATTACAAAATCTAAATTCAAATGCCTCAATAAAACTTATTTTTATTAAATTGTAGTATCTGATTCATATTCATTGTTTAATGTCCTAACATCATTTTCTCAACAACGAAAAAAATGATTTTTTAGAATTATTATTATTAACTTGTCTTCATTTCCTTTATATTACTTTTGCCTGTGTGTGTTATATTTAAATACAAAATCTAAATTGAAATGCCTCATTCGTAAAACATTCGCCTGAATAAAGTTTTTTTAGAATTCAGTGAGTGTAATGACCTACTCATTTGGAATACAGGTGTTAAAGATAAACATTTGTTTCTGAGCATCTAATAAAATAAAAACAAGTACATATGTTACCGTGTATGATCAAAATCAAGAAAGAGAATGTCGACTTTCACCGGTTAATGTCAACAATTACGTAGACACTTTATTGAATGTCCGAAATATTTGTTATATCCGATTTGATATTAATTTATTCGTTGATATTATTATATTCATTCGATATATTAATATCTGCTGAGGATAGATTAGGAGAAACATCAGTGTTCGAAGTACCGATTAAATGCATACTGGGCAGTGACACTTGACCTTAAAGAAAGATTGATGTAGAGCATACCGGGCAATGGCACTGAACCTTGAAAAACATTGATGTAGGGCATACCGGACAGTGACACCTTAGAATCTATTTCGGACATTTACCAAAGTGAGTATGAAATTGTCAACATGCACCGGTGAAAGTCAACAACCACCAATTTGGGTCATTCACAGTAACATACATAGTATTAAAATGTTTGAAAATCATAGTCATACAAATCAGGTCATACATAGTATTAAAATGTTTGAAAAAACACTATATTTTAGTTTTACAAAAAGTCTCTTAAGACAATGTGACATATCATCAGATATTCCCTGATTAAACTAATCAGATATTCTTAGAATAAAGAGTAAAGATGTAATTTAGGAATCAATTCAGTACAATTCCTATTTTATAAAGATAATATTGATTTTTTGTTTATTTAAATTAAATTTTTCTCAACCAAAAAGGCCATGCATTAAAATCTTCTACATTTATTAAATTTTTTTAATAATAATATTTTTCTTGGGAAGATGAATTATAAGTTGCAATTACAAATATATTAATTTTATAGTTAAAAATGCGCAAACCTTGAACTATTATTATAAAGAATTTAATAATTCAATTTAAAACGAAAAAAAAGAAAGTTTTGTGTCACTCTTTTTCTCGACAGTGCACTAATAGCTATAACTGATTTTTTTTTCCCTTTTAAGTTCGTCTCGCAGTGGACTGATTGTAAACACACGGTTCCCAGTAGAACACCGAACTCAAGCATCACTGGCTGCGGTTAGTAAGCGGGTGGTTGACCACTTTGATCAGCCTGCGTAGGGACCGTGGGTGCATGGTATCGGTCCTCAGTAAACTTCTACGGTAATGTGCTCAACTTCACGCAGGACGTCGGGCTACCAAAGCAGGGGAGCCATCCCCTCTGCCACGGATTAAAATTATGATGGCATGTCTTCGGATCATCCTCAGGTATGTTTCCCAGACCGTCACCAATAGCCCATTGTGCAACTCTAGTGAGACGTTAATAAAGTAACTATCTACCTAACTACCTTTTAAGTTCAAAAAAATTCGTTTAAATCGTCATGTTTGATTATAGTCAAACCAATAGGTTAAAAAAAAAGTGGATTCCTATAAACTTTTAATAAATGCCAAATGCTGTCGTAATTAACACTAGATTNATTTTTTTTCTTTCAGATGTTTCATAGCTTTTGTACTTTCCAGAACAATGAATATTCTTTATTCTAATGTCTGAACAGTGTGGCAACTATATTTTATCCTACTAGGCTTAATGTTATGCTACATTGCAATTTGTGATCCGTCCTTAGCAATTGTCCAGCAGTGTATAATGACACAATTTCTTAGAGTTTTGTGACTTTTTGTACAACGTATAATTTTTTTTAATTGTTAATATTTACTAATAACTTGTTATATAACTGTAAGTAATATAAAAATATGAAAAAAATTTTTAAACAAATTCATTTACGCATTCACAATCCCGTCATTTTGACTGCTTTTGGGCAATATAGGTATATACTAATTTTCCGTCTTTCTAGTGTTAATATATAAATACCTTATAAAGCGCTTTAAAACTAATGCTTCAACGAAAAACTAAGCCGTGTCCTGAAAATCCTGACCGATATTTGCTAAAAATTTGCCCAATTATTAATGTATTGNAAAAAAAAATTTTTTTTCCTCATAGGATTTTAGGATTTTTCTTTCTTTTTTGAAAGATGTTTACCTTACCATCATTTCAGAAATAATCATTAGTGTTCGTTTTTTCTTATTTTTAAGATCATTTCCAAATATTTTATTTTTTTAGTTGGGCTTAACACTAAAAAAAACGGCTTTTTGTAGTGATTCAGAAAACCGGAAAAATCAGTTATTCGGAATAGCGATACAGGATCGTTCCGGATAATCGGTTCTCTACTGTATATACTAATTTTCCGTCTTTCTAGTATTAATATATAAATACCTTATAAAGCGTTTTAAAACTAATGCTTCAACGAAAAACTAAGCCGTGTCCTGAAAATCCTGACCAATATTTGTTAAAAATTTGCCCAATCATTAATGTATTGCGTAATTAATGCGTAATAAATTTGTTTAAAATTAATTTTTAACATTTTTTATATTACTTACAGTTATATAACAAGTTATTAGTACATATTAACAATAAAAAAAATTAGACGTTGTACAAAAAGTCTTAAAATTCTGAGAAATTGTATCATTATTTACATCATTGTTTTTCTAATTGAAATTAAAGGCAGTCAAAATGACTTCCTTAGGCAATCTAGTGTTAATTTCTTAACACTAAACACCTTAACTTAACCTTAACACTAAACACCTAACACTGAACACCTTAATTTCTTACAAAAGATGGCAATATATGTAACCATTTTTAATTGGATAAATATCAACCTTCATGAGCCAGCATTAACCGATTTCCTTACAAATTTTTTGAGAGAAAAAATGCCAAAAATCAAAATTTTTTAAAATTTCATTAATAAATAAAAGAAACGAAAACAAAACATAATACACAAGTTTCAAGATGAAATTAAAAAAAATTTATGTGTGAAAAAAATTAAATCTATTATCAGTTTACCATCTCGAGTTATTTCGGGCATTAAATATGAATCTTAGTATAATAATTTTTAAAACAGGGAATACGAAGAAAAGGTGTGGTTTCAAAAACGAAGCAGACTTAACAGAAACAACAATTATTAACGAAAAGGACAACAACTACATTAATGATATTTTACAATTTTATGGTTCAAATGAAAACTTAGAAATTAATATTAAGAAAAAGGAAATGTGTCAAAATTTCTAAAAACATTTACATATGATAGAAAATATTTATAACCCTTTTTTAAAAAAAAATTTCTTTTGCCCGTGTCACTGTATATAGTAAGCGCAAATATCGCTAAAATCGAATATAATGAAATTATTATATAAGGTGGGTTAAAAACATTCTATGTAGCCTAAATTTAATGTATGCTATTGTATATTTCGGTTGCAGGCGTTGCTCTCCTCTGCTTTCTAATTATCATTAATAGCTGCGTTGAAAGGAGTCATTTGGTGGACACTTTAATAATTTTTTATGATTTTTGGGCTCATATGAGAACTTTGATATTAGCATTAAAAAAAGGAAAGGTGTCAAAATTTTAAAAAATATATAAATATGCTAAGAAAAATTTTTATATATTTTTTTAAAAATTTAATTTTGTCCTTGTTACTCTATTTAGTTAACAAAGGTACCGCTAAAACTATAATGTTGCAAATACGATGTGAGGGTGATTAAAATATTCTGAGTAGCCTACATTTAATGTATACGATTGTCTACGTCGCTTATAGGAATTACTCTACTTTGCTTTCAAATTATTATTAATAGCTGCATTCGAAGAGTTTATTTGGCGGACACTTTAATAATTTTTTATGATTTTTGGGTTCATATGAGAACTTTGATGTTAGTATTAAATAAAAGGAAAGGTGTCAAAATTTTAAAAAATATATACATATGCTAAGAAAAATTTATATATTTCTTTAAAAATTTTTTATTTCTTCCTTGTCACTCTATTTAGTTAACAAAGATACCGCTGAAACTATAATGTTGTAAATACGATATGAGGCGGGTTAAAATATTCTGAGTAGCCTACATTTAATGTATACGATTGTCTACGTCGCTTATAGGAATTACTCTACTTTGCTTTCTAATTATTCCTAATAGCTGCATTCGAAGAGTTTATTTGGCGGACACTTTAATAATTTTTTATGATTTTTGGGTTCATATCAGAACTTTGATGTTAGTATTAAGTAAAAGGAAATGTGTCAAAATTTTTAAAAATATATAAATATGCTAAGAAAAATTTATACATATTTTTTTAAAATTTTATTTTGTCCTTGTCACTCTATTTAGTTAACAAAGGTACCGCTAAAACTATAATGTTGCAAATACGATATGAGGCTGGTTAAATTATTCTGAGTAGCCTACATTTAATCTATACGATTGTCTACGTCGCTTATAGGAATTACTCTACTTTGCTTTCTAATTATTATTAATAGCTGCATTCGAAGAGGTCATTTGGAGGACACTTTAATATTTTTTTATAATTTTTTGGTTCATATGAGAACTTAGATAGTAACATTAAGTAAAGGGAAAGGTGTCAAAATTTCTGAAAACATATAAATATGCTAAAAAATATTTATAAAACATTGTTTTAAAATTTTTTATTTTGTCCTTGTCACTCTATGTAGTTAACTCAGGTTTCGCTAAAATCGATGCTGTCGCAAATACTATATGAGGCGGGTTAAAAAATTCTGTTTAGCTTACATTTAAGGTATACAATTTTTTGCATAATTTTAACCAATATAATTTTACATTTCAAAATCGATCTAATAGTTTCTGAGAAATCAAATTTCAAATAATTTACTTTTTTGAAATTCAATTCAATACGCGTTTATATGTATTGTGCATCTGCGCTATATTATGCTTATGTCGATCTATACATTGATACAAAAGTTGAGCGAAATCGGTTCAATAGTTTCTGAGAAATTGAATTTTAAATATTCACTTTTTTTAAAAATCCTTTCTCAGTAACTATTCGACCGATTTCGCTCATACTTTGTATTTCGTCATTATAGGATACATACTTTAAAATGATGTGAAGAATTGTATATCTTACAAATCAAAAGTGTTCCGACTGTTACAAAATAAAATGATAAATTTATTTTTGGCATGAAATTATCTTTGGACTAGCAAATTTTAAAATTTTCAATTCGCTTTAAAAGTTCCTAAAATAGTATACATTAAATGCAATAATATACATTAAATGTAAATAATAAAATTTATATCAAGGCGTTCAAACTCTGGCTGTCACCTTATGCTAACTATATTGGCATCGTATTCCCCAGATTAGAGCTACCCCATTAATCTTAGGAGTCGGAAATAAAATTGCGCTGTTTGTTATATTTTGGGCAACACCATAGCAAGTTAGCGGAGTCTTCCGAATTCATTTGTTATTTGTTTCGTTGAAAGTTAAATTGAAAGGACGTGCTTTTTTTTAACACTACAAGTATAATAATATTGGAGGGGCTGCTTCTTCAAACTTAGGCGTAAAAATTTATCGGTAGTAGTAACTCGTAAACCTTGCTGTGATTTTCAGCCCCTAGCTCCACCTGTGCTTATCTTTATACAATCAACAGCCCATAGTCTCTTCATGGTGCTTTTTTGCTTTTCGTTTGTATTTTTTGTCAAGAAAACTATCTTGTTTTGGAAACCTGATCATATTTGACTTTTTTATANTTAAAAAAAAAAAAAAAAAAAAAAACAGGAAGAAAGATTTTTTTATTTTTGATGAAATTTGAGTGCATTTGAGGGCACATGTTAAAATTTCAGAGCATTTTCTCTCTTTAAAGAATATGGAACATTTTGAGGATAATCAATAAATTCGATGACTGTTCTTAAGATTTGAGATCGTCTTGTCATCTTACAGACAGTCGATGTTTTGTTTAGAGATGATATATTCAGTATTTCCGATCATCCCTTTAAATTTTAAAAAGCTAAGGAACCATTCATACATTACGTTCTTCCGATTTGCAATCGCAATGCTCGAATACGCTATCTGTGGAGAAGACCGGTTTCACGGCCTGACTCTTCTCCCTTCCTTCTCTTTCTCTTCTTAGTTGTAAATCAATATGTTACGAGATTTTCCCCTTCCGTAATATTTTTTCGTATTTAATTGTCAAAAATAACTCTTTTGATTTCCTTGACGCTTTCTTTTAGAACTATGTTCAACGTAGTTTTCAGATCCATATAGTTTCCTAACTTCAAATTTTTTAATCTATCTATTTTAAAATCAAGACAGAAACTAACGTACTTCTTTCTTCTGTGACTCTCCTTATTCTAATAGTGAAAGCATGCTAAGTATTGCAGCAGGTAGAGATTTCTGACTTTCTACCTATGGCAATACTTCACATGTTTTCACCTAGAAAGTTAACAGCGAAGGAGGTGCGTAAGTCACTGGCTTAGTTTTCAAATAGATTAAAAACTTTTAAGTTAGGAAACTATATGGAACTAGAAACTACATTGAAAATAGTTCTAAAAGAAAGAGTCATGGAAATTTAAAGGAAGGGGGAAGTATTATTGTACATTTCCATACAACTGAGAAGAGGACAGGGTAAAGACATGGAACCGATCTTCTCCCCAGATAACACATTTAGCGCTGCGATCGCTAATCGAAAGTGCGTGAACCGCATCTAGTAAAATTGAATCTCCGTAGGCACTCTTCTCGTTTCAGATAAGTCATCAAATTAAGCTCTAAGCTGGAACTTGATTAAAGTAAAAGTGTGCTGATTCTGAAGTTTGTTTACTTGTTTCGAGAAAGATGACACGGAAAAGGTTAATAAAGTTGTGTAGATTAGATGAGCTTAGACTTTAAGTTGATGTTAATTCATGCCCTGAATTTGTAGGGAATTCGCTGAACTATAATTCGATGAAATTATGTTCTTGCTTATTGCTGGGCAACGTGCCAATTAAGACTTCAACTCATTTATAGTAAATTGTCTTCAAAAAGATAAAGTTATTAATTTTAAAAAATGTTATTTCATATGTTTCGAGCTAGAACTTTATCATTATGTAGGTCAACTTTACATAATGAACTATATTCAAGCGTGAAAGGTTTTCGCAGAATACAAATTTTACACAATAACAGTAATTTTTTACCGAATAAAAAATTTAATTTCAACCGAATTACTTGTCGATTTTCTTCCACTGTTAAGAAGCCTTCAACTTCAGAACTAAAGAGATTAATTGCTATTGCGAAATCTCAAAAATGGAGACTAACAGGTTTTTGATATTTATTTTCCTGCTGAAATATCTTTTTGCATAAGTAAGCAATATGTTTTTGCAAAAGGGACTCCTAAAATCGGGAATATTTCCGTATCGTGATCTGTTGCGCCTACTACAATATCCAAGGTGCCAAATGGACTTTGAACTTGCAAATTTAAAAAAAAAAAAACATTTAGGTATTTGCTGAGTGGTTACGAGTTATACATTTCGAGTTGGCTCCTTTCTGTGATGTTTTTTTTAAAGTTTCTCGCGGGCCGTTGCCCGGAAGTTGCCAAGACTTGGCGATTATTCTACCACAGGTCAGGATACGGAAATCTCCCCGTTACAGAGGTTATTATTCGCAATGGCAAGGCTGAAATATGCCATCTGGGTCATATGCTCATCATTCAATGTAAAGAAAATAATGTATTTACAAACAATGAACTGAAAAGTTTGCTACAGTTACAAGGAGTCTATAAGACTGAAATTACTAATCTAATACAGAGTAATTTGAACAATATTTAATGATATTCCTTTGCTTCAGAAATTTCAGTCCTATAATTTAACTATATATATATTTTTTTGCATTAAATATTAATTATTTATGAAATTTTTACAATGATGAAATGAATTGCATTTTTTAGTTTAGTGAAGCGAATATCAGTTAATCTATCTGAACTATCAAAAAAGTTTTTTGATTTTTGGCCGGTTTTTATAAGTTTTAGTTATAACCTGTTTCTGCCACTGGTAATATAAAAACCAGTTTTTGCCTGCAAAAAGCCAACCCTGGTTTAGTTGTAAAAAGAAATTAAACTGCTATGAAATACTTATTTTAACAAGATTTAACACTGCTTTAATATATTTGCATTTCACTCTATCAGGAGATTTTTAATAAATTTAAGAAACCACATTTTGTTACACTTAAAAGAATCCATTGGTTTTTGAAGGAAATACTATTAATATAGAAAGGTGTAGAGAAAGACCAAAAAGAAGTAAATAGAAGAGAACTTCTTAGAATTACCACTAACAAACAAGAAGAGAAAGGTCTAAAATCTTTAAAGAGGTTCTATGAGGGTTGAAATATTTAACTATCAAAAATGATATTGAATATTATAGAATCAATTTTCAGCAATTTGAAAAAGTACAATATCATTTCAATCAACTAAATTTCATCTTCAAATGAAATGGGATGTTATTGTAACATGCTATTGCAGTATGTTGCAAGTCTGTTTCTATTTATCTTATATTATTTGCTCTTCCGGATGCTCTAAATACTTTTGATAAGAAAATACTCTTTATGATTAATCTTTTTTTCTGAATATCTTTCTTTTTCTTTTTAAGGTGCAGTTATGTTTTTATTTATATCCAGTTCAGTAACTATATCTGTACCGTTTCTTGTTGGTAAATTTATCGATGCAATGGGAATGTCAAATTCTGAGCTGAAAGAGAATTTAAATTCCTTCTGCTTTTTGCTGATTGGTGCCTTTATAATTGGAGCATTGGCTAATTCTTGCAGAGTATATTTGATGAATATATCATGTAAGTATATTTTGAAGCACTGTATGAAATGTATTTTTATTTGTCTTTATATTTGCACAAATGTTATTTTTACATGTTATTCTGTTTACAAATTTGTGCAACTTAGTTTACAATAAGTTCTAGTTCATTGTGGAAAACAAAAGACTTGTTTTTCATTGATAAATCATATCTTTGGAATTAAGCATTTGATATTGAAAATTTTGTAATGTCTTTTAGTGATATTTTTTTCCATTACCTGCCGAAATCATGAGTTAATTAGTTTTTGTGATTCAGATCTTAACATTTTATTTTATGCTTGCAAGAAATTTTTCACAAGTTACTATTTGATTTTGTGAATGTTCTTATGCATTTAGTTTCAAACATAATTTTAACTTTAAGCTTGTTATATGATATAAATACTTATTTTGTTACATTTTCTAAAGCATTATTATGTAATAATTATTAAATATGAGAAAAAATCATTGCACTTAAATTTGTTATTTATGTAGAATATAGAAAGAAATGCACATTTATCAAATTTTTTATGATTAAAAAAAATTATTAATCTGTTCAATAAGGAAATGAAGCTTTTTTCTCCTTGAAAAGCATAGAAAATGCATTTATGCCCACAATAATTTTTTATTAAAATGTATTTTTATTATTCATTTGTTTATTTATTTAATTTTATTAAAGCGCAGAGCAATAAAAGTATTTTAATTCCAAAATTTATGCAACTTAGGTTTACTGAAATTTGTATTTATCAGATGAAATTAAAATGCAAGCAATTTAAATAATTTAAGTAAATTGGTCTACGCTTAATTTCAGTCATTCATGTAGTTTTGTTTCACTTGTTGTGATTTTATTTTGTTAAAATAACTCGCTTCTCTGTAAAATATTATTCATTGAAACATTATTTCATTTGTTTTCGAAAAATTTAATTTCTTTAAAAAAGGTATTCATAACAAACTGTAACAAATTCTTTTATGATATTTCTTTGTCTAAATTCTCTTTCTTAATTCATTATTCAAAATAAAATTTGCTCTTCTAGTTGGTAATAGGAAATTGCGTAGGAAACTCTCACGAAGTATCCTCTACTCTAAACATCAGGAAAAATATTTTATAAAAATAAATTCTTAAAGTAAGAACTTTTAAATTGTGTTGTAGGGAAGGGGGCCATTTTTTGGTACTGACTGGCAATCAGTATTTGTGTGAAACCACATGAGGGGTATCAGTATTTTATGGTACACATATACTTGTATATAAGTACTTATTAATAATAAAATTTTCCAACGACTCATCAGTTTTAAAGTAGCTTTATTTTGCATAACTGCAAAGTACTTATAAGTTTTGATCGCAGCATAATTAGTTAAACCCGTCTTTTTTATAAAAATTCTGTTGCTCACCATAAAAGTTTCCCAGAGAGCAACATAAGGTTTATTTTCACTGAGCAAAAACTTAATGTAAACCGAAAAAGGTTTGTATTGAGGTCTACATGTAAACCTTCCAACCTTAAAACGAGATCTGTGACACTCTGCTCTATTCTACGCACATCACCCTAATCCAAAACCTTGGAAAACAATCTTCGATAAAAAAAACCTTAATTAGAGGTCGACTTAAGAAAGCTAATCTCAAGATGAAAATAATCTTAAATCTCGGTAATTATAAGGTTTCTTTTCGCAAAGTCTTGTATGCTCAGTTGAAATCCACCTCATCACGAAATTTTAATGGACGATGCAATTCGATCCTATCGCTAGTGTGACGCAAGCTAAAACGTCATTATGGACCTAAGTGACGATACTTTTTAAAAAAAAGCTTTAAAAAAATAATTTTTTTAACCTTTTAGGATGAAAGATTTGAAACTGCAATATTTTTAGTTTATTGAAAAAAGGTTTTTAGGACAAATATTTTCGCGACAATAAAAAGGAAATTCCGACACAAGGTTGTTGTAAGATTACATGCCTTCTGGGTTTGTTTAGTGGCAAAATCTAGATTCAGTACAACGTAATTGTCATAAAACTTTTATTTCAGCCTTGAATTGATACAAATAAACTCGAAGATAACACAATTTCTGCTGAGGAAATTTTCTACAAATTTTGTGTGGTTGCAATTGTATAGTATAATTGAAGATTATGATGAAATCAAAATTATGATCATAATAAAATTTTTATTCAGTTACAGTTGTAGAGCTCAAGATACAAAATCAAAGAATATTTTATACAAAAGACTTTTTAAGGGAAATAATAAATTTTTTATATTAATGTCAGTAAGGACAGGCCATGGGAGATTTATCACCCATAACAAGCCTAATCAAAAGTCAAATTAAAAAGTGATTGAATCATTCCCAACAGACACTTAGGAGCCTGGGAGGAGATCCATGGTTGGTGATTTATCAAAAGATAACATAGCCAGAAATACAGCCAACTCCCTATAATCAATATTAAATTTGAAAATAATTTGGCAAAAACCAATTGCCAAAAAGAATCATGAGAATTAGTATTGCCCTGTAAGTGAAAGATTTTTGTGGTAAGAGGAATAAAGAGTTACAAATAGAATTTGTTTTCGATTTAGTCACGATAGTGAATCAATGAGTTTTACATTTGTATTGAATTAACTCTCTATAGTAACCCTCTATAGGGTTACTTTTTTTCTAGTAATATTATGTCTCAAAATATTTTGGGCCTTGAGATTGTTTTGCGAAGAAAAATTCATTTAGCTTATTGCCTAAAATGTGTATAATATTTTTATGTGTGGGAAAATTTCAAAATTTTGCCTACTGTTAAATATTAGTCATAAACTAGAACCTCTGTGTTTATAAGTAACCAAATTTCTAAATTATGAGTTCAGAACTACAAACAAACTAATTGAGCAAGCTTTTAATGCACAAAGAAAAGCAACCTCTCTTCCTGACTGTTAACCACATTTATGTATACCTATTATTTTTTGTATTTTCTGAAGTTATCAGCAGATGGCCACACAAGTCATCGATAGGAAAATGGCTTGCCATCAATATTTAAAATTCTAAAGAAAGACTCTTATTTAATTTTCAGGGGATCCATAAATATAGTATATGTATCCCCTGAACATATACCCTGATATATACAGTAGATGTAATTATAATAAAAACTAGATGTAAATTTCAATATAATTTATGGATTATTTGCCTTGTTTCAAATGAATATTTTATTTATTTATTAGCTCATCATGTTATAAATTCTCTTAGAAAGAGAGCATATGCATCAATATTGTGTCAAGAGACAAGTTTTTTTGATAAATCAAATACCGGCGAACTCATCAATAGACTCTCATCTGACGCAACTACAGTGGGAATGTCCATAACTAACAATATTTCTGATGGTTTACGAAATGCATTTATGTTCATTGGAGCTTCTTGTTTAATGGTATTGTTGTTTTATGTCATTATATTTTACTGGAGTACTGATTTTAGATTTTTTTCTTTGTTTTATTGTTATTTTAATCAAAGACTAGTATTACTTTGTCTTAGTTTATCTCGGATTTATTATAAGTGCAGTTGTTATAATTATAGTTTTGAATTTTACAATTACAATTTTGATTACAATTACATTACAATTTTGAATTTTAACTGATTTTTTCAATTATGTAGTTTCATGATTGTTTTTTTTTTATATATGAAACTTCTTGTTTAATGAGAGCATGACTTGTTTTATGTAATGTTTTATTTGATTTTTAACTAAAAGAGTGCTACTTTAAGATTTTATCTTAAATTTTTTTTGATTTATTTTTTATTTTATTCACTCATAAACTGTGTTTACTCATTATAAACCACTCATTGTAACCACTGCAGAAATTTCATGTTATAAAATTGCATACAAAGATATTGGGGAGAGATGACCACTTTTGGAAAGTACAGTATTTTTCCCATAGACTCTGTGTTAAAGAAACCTGTAGGAGAAACCGTTGAAACATCTCCCAGCAACCGAGAAAATGTCTGCACCAAATGCGGAAGCAAGGTCAAATATGGAAACAAGAAAAAAAATATCAAAACAAGAAATTTAACAAAGCAAATAAGTAGATTAAAATCTATGCAAAATATTTGTGGGTGACTTCAAATTAGAGAGCTCTTTTTGACAATACAACCTCACGTTGCAATCTGTGTGCAATAAGACGATGTTGCAATGATTTACTTCTAAAGTTGGAAGTAAAATTAGGAAAAAAAGTTATTTTAGGAAAAAAAACAAGCATCTCAAACAAACCTCTTCTCATCTTTTAAAGCTAACTAATTTTTATGATATGCAATTAAATGCAAACTTAAGCAAAAAACATAATTGTTTATTTATTTAAAATAGCTTTATCTTTCATAATTCGTAAATTTGTTTTTACACATAATAATAGCAGTTCGGATTATTTTTATAGACGCTAAATTTTATTCATATGTCTTTTCATGACCCCAACAAAAGTTGCATTTCTGCACCAAGAAAATGACACTGACTAAAAATAAAATCGAATGCGAAAAATCATGTATTTTCAATAACAATTTTGAAGTCTGTGGTGGTAACCTCTTAGAACGACCAACCTCCATCATCGACCATTTTACAGTGAAACAGAGAGTGGTCACTTCACGGTATTAATTGTAGGTTTCACTGTACTAAGTTTTGAGTCACTAAATTTTCCATCATAAGCTTCTTTTTTGGTGATTTGGTCATCCCCTCTTTCAATATTGAATGACATTCACAGAACCAATGATACTAGGGATGTAGCAAATAGTGCTTTGGTGGAATAACCTAGTACCGAATATTTGGCCACAAAAATTGCCAAATAGCAATTTTTTTTTAATAAATATTATTTTTATGTCTATATAAGTTTAGTCATTATTAAAAATTAATTCTAATAGTATAGCTATATTACTGGTATGGGGTATAGGGAATAAGCCTATAATTGTTATCCATCAGAAATATTTAGGATAAATTAAACACTGACTAACAGCTGTAAAAGAAGAAAAAAAAGAGGAATAAGAAGAAAAAAAATCCTCATAATTCTGAAAACAAAACTTTAATGCTAAAATTAATCATTTCTGGAAAAAAAATATCTAAATAACATTGAAAGAACTATAGTCTATTAGAAACGCTTTTAAAAATGTTAGGTTATCATAAAAGCAAAAGATTATATAGAAAAGCAAACCAGAAGAAAAAAAAATCAATCTAAATTCTGAAAAGAAAATTTTAAAGCTGAACATCTCAGTTTTCAAATTACTGTATTTTCAAGAGAAAGTGAAAAAAAAAGTTTAATAGAAACCCTCTTAATTGCCATGTCATTATAAAAACGCCAATAAAAATAAAAGTTTTTTAAAAAAGATAAAGCTAGATAGAAACCAAATCAAAAATTGTTCTTAATTTTTAAACAAAAAATGTAGCTCTAAAAATCTGAATTAATTCGGTATTTTTAATCTCATTAGAAATAACGAATTGGCTGAATGTCAAATAGTGACTGAATATTTGTTACATCCCTAAAGTATGTGTAGCCGATTTCTTATAAAATATGAAAGCAATCCAATTTCCAATAATTTTTATCAAGGATCTCCATAAAGGCATAAAAAGTGTTAAAATGATATATACCTATGTTTTTAGACTGTCTACTTTTACCAGTGTGACATATGAAACTGGATTTATAGAAGAAATTTTAACATCGTCTTTTAATCAAGGGCTATTGTATCATTTCAGGTATATACCTCTCCATCGTTGGCTTCTCTTGGACTTTCAGTTGTAGCACCTGTAGCACTCATAGCCGTCACTTACTCAAAAACTTTAAAAAAGAATTCTAAAGGTGTGCAAGATGCTCTTGCTGAAGCTACTCAGGTATTTTTGTTTTTAATAAGTAAATTAACTTTAATCTTATATAGTGTTACATTTTCAAAATTATTTGATAAGTTAGGTGTTACCAACAGGCATTCAAAGATTTAAGTCAAATTATTAAAATATCACAATTAGAATCACTTGTTATGTTTCAAAAATTTATAAATTTAAATCAGGAGTCAGTAATTTTCCATCTCTGGCAGAGGAGGCATTTTGTGTAACAAAACATGGGCTATGGGTTGCATTCATTTGGATAAGAAGGGTGAAAATTATACTTTTGTGCTTGCATATAAAAATTAAATTTATAATGTGAAAGAATTAAATAGGGGATACTCCTAGTATAAAGATAATTTATAAAATGGTTTTGGTAAAAGAAATGTTTGTTTTTTAACTTTAGGCATTGCTTTTGCAAACAATTATTTTTCAGTTTAAATTTTAGACAGTTGACTTCGTTTTTATCAACAGTTGTGTCTGTAAAAAAAGATTAGTGGACATTTAGGAAAATAATTTTTTTAGGCCCTATATTTTCTTGGGAAAGTAGGAATTACAAATGGTTTATCTTTTAACTTAAATGTGAGAAAATTACTAATAACGTTTAAAAAATCAGCAATAACGACAAAAACATTACAGGTAATGTAAATTTTGCTAATGAAAGGAGATGTTAGATATGATTTTTTGTTGATAGGTATTTGACAAAAGGCTTTTTCCATAATTAAAATGGGCAAAAGTAATGTGCTGAAACCCTACCAACTTTGCTATAAAGGGTAAAAAATCTTTGTAGCGTTTCCAACTTTTTCTGCTATGTGTCTTAGTATTTATCAAAATATCAGTGCATTTAAAAATAATTTTTCTTTTTGAAAAAAAAATAGCATGTGACTGAAATGTTTTAATGTTTGATGAGGTAATTAATTTGTAAATACGTTCTTATAAATATTTTCATTTTTTGAACTGGCTTTCATCGATACTTTAATTTAGCTCAAATTTCATTTGGTCTTCTTTTTAATAAATTTTTTTTAACTGCTTATTTTCTATTAATATTTCAGGTGTCTGAAGAAAGAATATCCAATATTCGAACTGTACAAACATTTGCTAGATTTGAAGAAGAAATCAAAGTGTACAGTAGAAAAATTGATAATGTCATGTGTTTTGCTTCAAAAGAATCTTTGGGACGAGCAAAATTTTTTGGTATGGTAAGCATGATCATTTTGTAATAATCTTTAAATTACTTTTATGTTAAATTCCAATTTTATTTGCAGACTTAGTAGAATAGTGTGTTAAACAATCCTTCAGAAGCACTCACATTTTTGTTTTAAAAAAAAAATTCTGAAAAAGTTGAAAGCATTAAAAATAAGTCAATGTAGTGGTTTTAGTGTGGGGGGGGATGTTTTTCTAAACATTCTGATGTTTTTGTCCATTTGAAAGTAGTTTTTCTCACAGTCTCTGAAATTTTAATTGTGGTAATGCAATAAATCATTTTGCATAATTATTTTTTATAAGTTTTATAATGATATTCTACTCATTTTAATAAAGTATTGAAAATTATACTTTAATAATAAAATGTCAAATGCACCTAAATAAAAAAGTAAAAATAATAGCTGCAAAAATGTAATAGAAAATTTTCAATTTTTTTTAAAACATGTATTCGAAAACATATCGCTTTGTTGGAGGTGAATCAAGTAATATTTGCGATATATTTGAGTACATAAATAACATTTTTATTTAATTAAATTTCATTTACGTGACTATCAATTATGTGTGCCTCTGTGCTGTTATGAGTTCTTTTGAGTAATAAAAATATGAAAAATTTTTTTTTCCTACTTCACCTCCATAACTAATTTAAAGTGTAGAAAAAGTGTGTTTAGACAAACCAAGAGTAAGTCATAAAGTTTCAAATACTGGAAAAAAATTTAGATATTCAAATGAATATAAATTATGAGAAGATAATTTAGGATTACGCAACGGAAAAGTTTCTCTTCTAATAATTTGTTTGTATTTTGATATTTTAAAATTTTTTTTCAGCGATTGAAATTACGTGGCTTACTCTAGGTTTGCCTGAACTGACTTTTTCTTTCTTTTAAATTAATAGAGGTGGAGGAAAATTTACGAGGAAAAGTTTCTCCCATGGTATGGCGTCCTCTTAACTGAACATCAGAATTCAAATCCCACTCCCTTCCCTTGAGTAAGGCCTTGACTACATAGTATGTAAACTACATGGTATAATTTGCTGGAATTGTCATATAAAATAAAAATATCTCTTTACTTTTTCACTAAAATTCTAGTATTTCTTACTTAACCATAGAGACCAGTGGATCCAGTTTCACCCCCACCAGTGTGGTAAAACTGGGAAGTTATGACTTTTTCTTGAAAAAACTCATTTATAAAAAGAAAGAATATATCTATGATTTTTTGAGAAAGATATTTTATATAATTAAATAATGAATATCTTAGTTAAATCCGACAGAATCTAGGTCAAACAGTTGAGCTTCAACAGGCTTTCGAAACTTAGCTGCCCTGTAGTACCCTGCCTTCCACCATATAATTCATAGCTGCCAACTCTACTGGATTTTCCAGTAGTCTACTGGATTTTGCCAGTTTCTCCTTCTCTACTGGTTTAATTAAAATTCTCCTGGTTTTTGTATATTTTAGAAAATTCCCTAAAATTGAATAAGTTTCCTAAAAGAAATCCATATTGAAATGGAATTTTTATACAGATTATTGCTTGAATATTTAAATAAGTATTACTAATACACAATTAAGTGAACCTCATCTATAGAAATCAGTTCAAAACTTTTTTTTGTTCTAAAATATTCTGTTTATTTTTAATCAGAGTTCTCTTTTTAAAATTAATTTAAAAAAATCTTAACTATGTTTGATGAATTAAATGCCTATTAATATTCGAAATTATGAGTAAATGTAATACATATCATTTTAAGTATGTTTAATGTCAATCATAACTGGAAAATATTGCAGTTTTTCTTTTTTGATGACTATAAAAATCCCTAAAATTCCCTATGTGTAAAATATTTAGTACATTATGCAACTATTATCATGAAATTTATATTATTTCGTAAAATCTACTGGATTTTTTCCTATCCATGTTGGCAGGTATATATATATATATATAAATGAAGAACTTTGTACAAAGCCATGAAATGCCTTATATTTATAAGTAGTTTAATTTTGACTTTTATTTAATGCTTTTAAAGGTTTCTAAACAAAAGACCTACTATTTTTACAGACTGGTCTGAGTGGCAATTTGATTATTTTGATCGTTCTGTATAAAGGTGGTATGCTACTAAGCGACAATGCAATTACAGTGGGCAGTCTGTCTGCATTTCTCTTGTACTCTGCTTATGTTGGAGTGTCAATCGGAGGTAAGATACAATTATCTGTGGTCCCTCTCTCTTGCTTTGTATATTTTTTATAGTATTAATTTTTTTTGACTGTAGTGTTTGAAAACAATAATTTGCGTAATAATTAACTGTGTTATAATTTCACTCGTGTGAAAACAAACCATGCTATTACAGTACACTCTCGATTATCCGCACGCGGATTATCCGGTTTGCGGATTATCCGTGCTCATTCCGGAGTCACACAGAAAATNAAATGATATTAGGATGGTTCAAGGGATAGATGACCCTGCTTCCAAATGAGGCAACCCTGGTTTGAGTCCTAGCGATTTGAATTCTGCTTCTAGCCTCCCACTTTGCTGATATGAAATATTTCCTGAAATAGACAGATAATGGGCCCCTAGTCTGTCAGGCTGATCATGAGAAGTTTTCCTCTCTATGTGTTCCCTGAAAACTAGTTTATCATTATGCTCGAACCAGGAGCCCCCTTGACTTCTGGGTTGTGTCCAAAATTACAAGGCTACGGTGTTGAACATTATTAAAAACCTAAAAATGGGTCAGCTCTGTGTCGACTATAAAATGATGCTAGGAAATATTTATGAATTGATTATATTATAATGTTCCATCAATGATAACAGGAAATATCTCTTCCACCAATGTTATTACGAAGGGATAGAGGACCCCGCTTCCAGCTTCCCACATTGCTGATATGAAATACTCCATGCAGTAGACAGATAAGGGCCCCTAGCCGTCTGGCTGACCATGAGAGGTTTGTTTCCTCACTATCTGCGCCACCTCTTGTACAATTTGAATAGTGTTCTAGAGATGCCAATTAAAAAAATCCAAAAGTGTCAAATGCATTAGTTTAATATTTACCTCAGAGAAAAATGAACTCTCTTTTAACAACATGCACTTTGGTGAAAGGAACAAAGTCGCATACAGTGCTGGCACGATTTAAATTGAACTTTAAAACACTTGATTTTTTAACAAAAATCATTCAAGCATTAAGTCAAAAATATTTTTTTATACAATGTAGTTTATTAGTATATTCTTAAGGTTGTGATTTTCTTTTCTGATTTCAATGATAATGAAGGTTTTATCTAGAGAAATACTGATAGGGGAATGTATATAAATTATTATTTGATGTTCAGAATGGACTAATAAATTAAGAAAAACTAAAGTTTGATAAAAGTGGTGTGAATTTTTTATTTTATTATAAGCTGCGCATCAAATGATTTGCTGTTTAATGAACAGGTTTCAATTTTACCCATTTAAATATGACTACCTTTAAAACTTATTAAATATGAAGTAAGTGTATATAAATAATGGAATTTAATAACAATTCATGAGATTGTTCAGCTTGAAAAAAAATTTATAGTGATTTTGCTTATTTAGTGTTTAGTTTATAGTAAGTGAATAATAAATCAGAGCTTTAATTACTAACTGTTCAAAAAAATAATGAAGGAAAAATTCTTAATTGTTTTATTTTTTTGAAAGAAAGTTATGATTTTTTGTAACCCTGGTGGTCATATTAACTGGTAGTCTATGTAATTTTTTTCTCAATGTTTTAAAAAAAAAAGAAAAACAAAGTTAGATAAGGATTAAATGTACCGGAGATGGTACAGGATAGTATAATCAAAATCTTAAAAAAAGTTTGCAAAGAATCTGCAGTACATTTGGAGCAGTGGCAAAATGATAAGACATGTAAAATTCTTTACACCTAAATGTGGTCATGCTATTTTCTATGAAAGAGAAATAGATCCATGAAAATGCTGTACTAATTAAATTACTTTCTTGACAAATTTTGTCACTTTGAATTGATTTCTAAGACGAAGGAACTACTTCAGAACTGTTGCAGATCTTCAAGTGAATCTATCCAAACTCTTCGCAATATTTCTTTTTTCAATGGCAGGCATTTGGGTGTATTTCCCATTGGCTTCAGAATTGCTACTCTCTTATCGTTGCCCAGTGAACTCCTGTGGCTAAGCCATGGCGGTGGTCTTACAAACCCGTTTATAGGCCGGATTACATTGACACAGAAGAAAGGACATAGAACACAGAGAGAAAGAAAGTTACATCCATGTCTAGGGTGGGATTCGAACACACAACCTCTGGCCCCGTAGGCCGGTACAGTAACCACTAGATCAGTGATCGGCTTGAATTCGATTATGATGTTCAATATTTTTTGACATTATCTTTATGCCCTTCAAAATGAAACCCTACTATGTTGATACTATCACAATACCTTCAAATTTTGACGTTTTGACATTCGTATAAATTGACAATGTCTCTTTTGCGAGAGTGCTGAAAGTACGTGAGCGGGAACCTTCAAGATTTGCTTTCCTTCTCTGCATGCTCAAGAGATAAAAGTTTATTCTCTATTTCTAATTATTTATGTGTCACCGAAATTGCGCATTTATGCGAATTTAGTAATTCGAATAGATTTACCAATTTTATACATTGATTTTTGGAGATTAAGGACAGAGCATGTAGAGAACATGTGTTATCTTCGAAGCTGTAGTGTGTTTTTTTATAGAGTAGTTCCAGTGCTTCATGAGCTAACATAGTGCCTTTAATTTGTGATGTCTCCATAAATAAAAGAAAAATGATCTAGAAGACGTTAGTGTCATTATTTCCATTCATGACCAGTTAACCTGGAGTATACTACACTATACCACATGCCAGATGCAGCCGATGCACCTACATTTTTATAAATTATTAACTGATAATTAAAAAATGAGTGTCTACAAAGGAGAACCTGTCATCATACACTGTAATATTTTCTTATCTATGTTTTCATAAGAAATTTTGCATTTAGTTTTTCTGAAATTTAAAAAAGTGCTATTTCGAAAACTTAGGTGCAATATATTTAAAACTATTTTATGCCTACTTATTAAAAGTTTATTAAGTAGAATGAGAAAAAGTAAGTTTAGGTTATTAGTTTTTAAAAGTGTTTTTTTATTTTGTGTTTATTTATAAATAGGAGTGCATTTTCTTGTTATAATTATTGTATTTTAATGTGTAAGAAATGCCTGTTTATGAATTTCAGGTCTAAGTAATTTTTATTCTGAATTAATGCGAGGACTTGGAGCATCAACAAGAATTTGGGAACTGATTGACAAAAAACCTTTGATATCAATAAATGGTTTGTTATTTTTTTAAAAGTTTTAAATGCATACAATCATGAAATTTTTTTCACACGTAATCATCATACATTTTCAGTAGTGTTATTAAATAAAAACAAAGTGTTTTTAACCTGTGTTGTTCCCTTAAGCTTTACAGATATAAACATTTCTTTCTGTATTTTTTATAGTATTAATTTTTTTTAACTGTAGTGTTTGAAAATAATATGTGCAATAATTTACTGTGTTATAATTTTTCTCCTGTGAAAATAAACCAGGCTATAATTTTATTTACGCGTTAATAAATCATACTAGGATTTCAATAAAAATAATTCTTAACTGCAACCAACTTAACTATATTATAATGTTCCATCAATGATACCAGTAAATATCTCTTTCATAAATGATATTAGGATGGTTCAAGGGATAGATGACCCTGCTTCCAAATGAGGCAACCCTGGTTTGAGTCCTAGCGATTTGAATTCTGCTTCTAGCCTCCCACTTTGCTGATATGAAATATTTCCTGAAATAGACAGATAATGGGCCCCTAGTCTGTCAGGCTGATCATGAGAAGTTTTCCTCTCTATGTGTTCCCTGAAAACTAGTTTATCATTATGCTCGAACCAGGAGCCCCCTTGACTTCTGGGTTGTGTCCAAAATTACAAGGCTACGGTGTTGAACATTATTAAAAACCTAAAAATGGGTCAGCTCTGTGTCGACTATAAAATGATGCTAGGAAATATTTATGAATTGATTATTTTATTACAATTTAAATATTAACATACTATTATACATACATTTATACATACATTATTATATATATTTTATTACAATGTAAATACTAACATACCATACTATAACCATGCACAATTTAAATATTAACATACTTTAAAAATTCATTAAAGTGGATCAATGTTTTCAGAGCCTGTAATCTTTAAATTACAGCAGTGTGAAAAAAGTTAGTTTGAAAAAAAATAAATTTCCTTTTAATTTCAATAATTTTGATGTCTTGATTCAATATATTTTAAACACTTTAGATTAGTTTGGCCAATATTGAAGCCTGCATAAATAGGCCTATGCGGTGAACACTAAGGATTTATTTTCCGAAACAGATGGCAGCACTTGGATTTTTATTTCTCATTGATTAGATGTTTTTACTTTTCAGGATTTCCTTCACAGGTGTCAGCACATGAATTTTTCTTTCACTGATTCGGAATATTTAATATTGTTACTTTCATTAACTGTAACTGTTACTTTGCTTGGATTTGTTTAAATTTTATTTTAAGGAGGCGTTTCATTCAATTGTTGATTTAAAATTTGTACCTTTTAGGTGTGATTCCTTTTCAAATTTATAATGACATTTATTAATGGTAAAAGTTTTTTTCTTGTCTTTTCATTAAAGGGCCTCGGGACACTGTTAGTTTTGGTTAACTCCACTAACAATAGAAAGGCTCCTGTGTGTTTGCAGGCAGTGTGTCCCCTGATGAAGAACTGTTCTGCAAGCACACATTTATATATTATATTTTATTTTTAAGTATTTTTAATTATTAAGTTTTTATGTCTTATTTCTAGTTTATATTATACAAATTTGGTTTCAGCTGCCTTGTGCGCTTTTCCAATTTGAATTATTTTAGTAAAGTTTCAGTGTGTTTTTTTCCTCTTAGTTATCATTATAGACTTAGTAAATTGTATTGATTTTGTGATTAGCAGTGCAAAAAAGTATGTTATGAATTTAGTTTTTCTTTTGTGACATTTATTTTTACCGTATTCTTTGTTTCGAATCTATGGGTGTACAATACGTGTACTGGTTGTGTGTTGTAGTGATTGTATGTATACATGTATTGATTAGGACGTACAATAGAGTGTATTGTAGTGATAAACAGTATTAGCAAATTGAACACCAAATAGTCTTACGAGAGATTTCCTAGACATTGAGTTGTCATTGCAAAGGGTTCTTCAGTCATCTCCAAAACCACCAGCTAGTGTAAAAGCAGCTTTAGTGTCACCATCATGCTGTTCTTGTCATAATTGTCAATAATTAAACTTTTGGCCAAGAGGGCTTCCAATTTACCCTGACTGCTTTCCTGGATAGCAAACTCTTTTTTTCCCCCTGTGTTATTTCATAGAGATTCCTTACAAAATGGCCCAGAGAGGCGTGGTGGTTCAGGGGATAGAGTGGTCACCTTCTAATGATGTAAACCGAGTTCGAATCCCAACGACGGCTGGTCGATACGAATTCCACACCAGGCTCACAACGAGCATAGTGCTGAGGTAAAATATCCTCAATGGTAGACGGATCATGGGTTAGAGTCCCCTTGCCACCAGGGTAACCGTGGGAAGTTTTCGTGGTTTTCCTCTCCATGTAACTCAAATGCGAGTTAGTTCCATAAAAAAATCCACCTTGTGGGCGAATTTCTCCCAATACTTGATCCAGGAGTTCCCTTGTTTTCTGGATTGGGTTCGAAATTACAAAGCTACAAAATTGAACATTAGTAATCGTAAACCCAAAATCGTGTTGGCTGTTCAACGACAGTTATAAAATAAAACTGACCCTGATGTTCTCACACGGGTCAATAAATATTTCATTACTAAAATAAGTATTTCTTTCTGTTTCAGATGGCGTAACAATACCGAATTTGAAAGGAAATGTGGCGTTTGATAGCGTCAATTTCTCGTACCCTGGCAGGCCTGATGTTCCCATCCTGTCTGACTTTAGCCTCAGTATTCCTTCAGGTTCAGTTTATGCTCTTGTGGGGTCCAGTGGATGTGGGAAATCAACTGTAGGCTCCTTACTTTTAAGGCTGTACGATTGTCAAAGAGGTAATGACAATTTCTTGATTGAAATTCACATGCAAGGCTGCCAACCACTACATTCTTGTAGAGTGGTAGACAGTTAAAAACTAAGCTTTCAAGGTAATTTTGTTGACATTTTGATAGTTTCACCACGAGTTGCGTGAACCATTTAGTGTGGAAAATAACTTTAGATCAAATTTACAAAGCAAAAAGGATCATACATTAAAACATAAGCTTAGAAGAAGAAATTTTTTCCAAGAAATGTAGAAAGTTGGCAGTCCTGCCAACTTTACTTAAGGTGTGAATAAATGTTATTTGTCATTCAATACTGACAAATAACATTTATTTGTCAGTATTGAATCACAGGTGAGCTTGTTGGTACAAACAAATACACATATTTAATGTTATTATTTATAGGAATAGAGAGACCCCTGTCGCAGAGTTATTTTGGGCTTTCTATGACACTTTTCTAGCACTCTTCCTGCAAGATACTATTAATAATAATTAATATGCATTTTATTAATAAAATTTTTAAATTTAAAGTAACAGAAACGTTGTATTTACAAAAAGAAAGCCTATTTTGATACAATAAAATTTATATATATATATTTTAAATGATTATGTAAATTTTTTTTCTTCTAATATCAAGGGCGATATTCTCATATTTTGTACGCGGAAAGCACACTAGTAATTATTTCTTTTTTCGTATTTCGTAAATCATCATCACATAAAAAAAAATAATTAAAAATCTTTAAATCTTCAAAGCAATTTTTTTCCCAAAATAAGAATTAAAAATCATGAGCATTTCTTTCCCTCTGATGCTTGAAAAAGGCATCTATTTAACATAATAATGGAGGGAAAAAAAATCTTTCTAACATTTCTACAGCATTTCTGATTACCTTTCTCTCACCGACTCCAGCCAAAACTCGTCCTAAACAGTAACCCCACGCCCCTACTTGGAATAGTTATACCTCCTTACCATAGCCACTACCATGGGTCTAGACAAATGTCATGGGGCGTTCTTACCTTCAACAAACTATAAACAGTGTTCCAACGACTCAGGGAGAACCTGAAACTGTCAGGGAATAGTCATGGAAAGCTGTAATTTTTTTGAAAAAACCTGGAGTATTCCTATATCATTACCTGGAAAATAAAAAATCTTAAAATTGTCTGTAACAGTAGTCAGTTATTGAGATTAGAGTTAAATAATTCTAACATTTATTGCAATTATTTGCTGTTAAAAATTTGACATTTTAGTCAAACTGAAATGTTTCCATAATCATTTAATGATATTTTTTTAAGCAGAAAATCTAATATTTCACATTACAAATAAGAGAATCAAAGTTTTCTGATGAAAATATGGTCTCAATTTTCATTACAATTTGCCTGGTATACCTGGAAAAGTCAGGGAATTTTTTTCTGAAATTGAGTGGGAACTCTGTATTTATTTTATTTTCCTTATTTTATTCTTAAATTTTTTATTCACTTGTTCTTCATTATTTTAATGATCATTAAACAGGCTCCATAATGGTGGATGGGCAAAGTATTAAAACGCTGAATGTGAGCTGGTTAAGAAGGAATATTGGTGTTGTGAGTCAAGATCCTATTTTATTCTCTCACTCTATTCGAGAGAATGTGCTGTACGGCTCTCCTGGAGGTGATGATGTCACAGAGGATATGTTACTGGATGTGTTGCAAAAAGCAAATGCTTTGGAATTTGTGAAACAGTTTCCACAAGGACTGGACACACTTGTTGGGGAACGTGGAGTTATGTTATCAGGTGCTTACCTTCAATCATTTAAAGTTCATTAAAAAGAAGAAAAAAAACTTTTTTATACACTTGTTTTGGTACATCTTTGTCAGTAGGATAATTAATTTTGTGGATTGCATCATCTCTGTGATCCCTGTTGATGAAGTTGACACTGAATGGTTTTAGTAAAGAAATTTATCATTTGTGGTATTTAAACGTTTTTTTTTCAATAAAATTAATGATAGTCAAATTTTATGGTGCAACATGGTACGTAGCGTTTTTAAAAAATGCTTAAAGGTTCTTATTTTTGATTTTCGTTTTTTAAAAGCCCTTAGAGGTGCTTTTTTCATTAGGCGTTTTTAAAAAGTGCTTAATTTTTCCTTTTCGAAAATGAGATTTTTTTCCTTACCATGTCCATTTTCGCCACATTTTATGCTAAAGCCTGCTTTTCACATTGTTCTATTTAACGTTTTCACAATTTATTTAACCACAATCTATTTCGGCCTACCGTTTATCCATAGCGTATAAAAGTGACAATAATTTTACATGTTTCATGAAATACTTGCGAGCTTGCATGAGCGTCAACTGAGCTGGGTTTGGTGAGCTTATTGCACTCTCATGTGCAACTCAGCAGCATTTTGCAAGATATTCTCAATTTCAGGTTTCACTTTCCACCCTCTGATATCGAAACGAACAATCTCTCGATCATTTTATAATGTCTAATATAATAAAAAAAAGAGTTCTTTGTCAGAAACTAGTTATTTTGTCATGATCATGTTAAGTCTTTGAAAATTATTTTGCATTTTGTTAATGTATATAGTGCTTAAAAATATCTTTTGAGTGCTTAAAAAAGTGCTTATTTTTTGTTAAAAGATTTGGCTACGCACCCTGTACAACACCATAAAATTTGCCCATCATAAATTCCCCTGGATCAGCAATTAATGCAAAGGGATTGTATGTTATTTTGTTTTTTTATCTTTGGTTTTATATTTTAGCCTGTGTTTCTCTCACAAAAAATCGTGACATTATGCATTCTCTGTACTGAAATTTTTCATTGAAATTCACCAATTATGTAAAAGCTTTTTTTAAAACAAAATATATATAGTTATCTTATGAGACATTTAAATGGACCTGTGAAAATTTCCACGTACAAACTAAACATTAACTAAAATCTTTTAGTTAGTGTTTCCTTGAATCAGTAAGTTTCCCGGAATTATAGGTATGTTTTTTTATTATTTTATAAACTTATTTAAAAAAGTTGGGATATATTTCTTCTTTCTTTCTTAAAACTAAATAGTAGAAAAATTTATTTAATTAAATTCATTGCGGATTTCATATTTTCCACGCATATAGCATATTTGATTCCTGAAAAAACTTTTTTTTTATCCACTAGATAAATTAATGTGGCAGGCCAGATCGCCAAGCGGTTAGCACGCCTGACTGCAAAGCCAATGGCTGCTGGTTCGGATCCCGCTCTGGGCATGGATGTTTCTCTCTATGTGTTGTCCTCTGTTGCGTGTGAATGTGGCCCACCCTATGAACGGGTTTGTGGCATTGTGGCGTGGGTAATGTTGCTCGCCTCCGTGACTTTGGTTCACAGGTGTCCGCTGGGTAACGTAAAATGAGTAGCAATTCCGACATCTTCTAAGGCAAAGAATAAAGTTCAGTGCCTGCCATTTGAAAAAAATTTTTTTTAATTAATTAATGTGAATATGTCCTTTCAAAAATATTTTCAATGTACTTTTTCAATAAAAATATGAATTTTTTTAGGTGGGCAGAAGCAAAGGATAGCAATTGCAAGAGCTATTTTAAAAGTTTGTATTAAATTTTTATGAAAATTTTGATCACAAATACAAATGAAATTATGTTTTTATCTTTTTAGATGTTCCTTTCTTCCTTCTTTCATGTCTTTTGTTTTCCATTCTTTACCGCTGGGAGTTTAAATCCAGTTTAAAATTTTATTTACAACTCCAAATTAGACAGGATGCATGGCATTTTTAAAAAGTACTTAAAGGGGCTTATTTTTGATTTTTAAAAACCTTTAAAGGTGCTTTTTTCATTGGGTGTTTTTAAAAACTCCATAATGTTCCCTTTTCAAAACTGAGATATTTTTATATCATGTCAGTTTTTGTCATGAATTATGCTAAAAGCTTTGTTTTCACACTATTCTGTTCAGTGTTTTCACAATTCATTTAATCAAAATAATAATATTGTTAGGATATGCACACAATACAAAAATTTTCTTCCTATTATTGAAAGTTTATATGTATGTATATATATGTACACACGCATTTGGTGAGATTTCCGTATCATGATGTGTGACAGAATAATTGCCAACTTCCAGGCAGCAGCTCCCGAAAAACTGGGGAAAAAAACATTACAGAAAGGGACCAACCTGAATTGTAGCCGCCGCCAGGCAAAATCTACATTTTTTTTAAAATTTCAAGTTTAAAATCTATTTGTCACCTTGGAGATTGTAGTTGGCATGACAGATCAGGATACGGAAATATCCCCTTATATTTTTTGAGTGCTTGAAAAGTGCTTAAGAGGTGCCTATCTTTTGTTCAAAAATTTGGCAAAGCTTCCTGTAAGATTATTACACAATATTAAAAATGAAATAATAATAATAAATCTGTACTTGCACTAATAGTTTTACAGATATTTGTTTATTATTATTACTTACAAGTCTATTTTCTGGAATTATTAGAAATCATTAACTTGTTTGGAAGAGTTGTACCTTTTTCCTTGTGTTTTTTTTTCCTTTCTTCTTTCTCTTGTTTATTTCAATGAAAAGAATATTTTTGTAGCAAAGTGACTATTTATTAAGCAAAAAAATAATTAATAATATTAATAAATAAATTTAATGTCATCATACAATTTTAGTCTGTAATGCCTTTCATGAAATCATTATTGTTATTGTTATAGGTTACTATAATCTAGACCATATTCTAGGTGCTATGCTATAGAGCTATTATTTTAAACCAACTTATGTAGTTTTAATGTTCTTTTAATATTAGAACTTTTTTAATGTTTCATTTGACTAAGGTGTTTATTAAATTGTATCAATTGTAATTGTTATTAGCATTATTTTTAATTACTGTATCATTTAATAAATCTGTGTAAATACATAAATGGTTTTCAATTATAAAAATTATTATATGATCATAAAGATTAATAAATATTTCGACTGTTATAAGTTTTTTATAGCAGCTCATTATTTTTAAGAAGTAATCAGAATAGTTTAAATGATAAATTTTAGTTTTTAATTAACAAAATTATTTTTGTAGAAATAGCTACTAAAATTATAAAAAGGAAAATTATTTATCTTGCTTAGTAGGTCTATTTCTTGCTTTGAAATCAAAAGTTAATTTCTAATAATCAATATTACGCTCTATATTTATCATAAAAATGTAATTATCATGATTAATGTATTTTTTTTTTTCTTGTAATTTGTTATAATTATGTAATTGTATTTCCTTTCACTTTTTGCAGAATCCAAGAATATTAATTTTGGATGAAGCAACCAGGTAAATATAAGTCCATATTTATATATAAAGGAACATTAATAATTTTACACTAATCACGCATAATTGAAATTCATAACCAGAAAACTTATAATTTCACTTTATAATAATTCATAATTTCAGGCATGACTTTTCAGCTGTTTAGTTTTAGTAGAACCTACTAGTACCTACTTAGTAGAACGTACTACTTTAGTAGGTTAGTTTAAGTAGGTTCTCAAATAAAATTCGATCTTTTGGTTTTTAATGATAAGATCACTCGAGATTTGTTATAGTAAGTTAAAAAGTTTTTAATTCAATAAATGCATTGCTTAACCATTTTTTTACTGCACATAAATTTGTTGAGGTGTTGTTCTTTATCTAATATAATTTAGATTAGGCTACTCTAGAAACAAAAAAAAATATTTTGGAAATTTTTTTATCATACAGCTGGTGAAATGTAAGAATTATTTTTCTCAGAGAGATACAAAACAAAATGGTGCCTACACATTTTTTCTTCAACAAAGGCTTTCTTTTTTAAGGACTAAAGAGTCTTCATTATGCAACTAGCAAGATGTAAGAATTATTTAAACCTCTTTCAAAACATAATAGTGCCAATGCATCTATTTTTGGACAAAGGCTTTCTTTTTTAAGGATTAATGACAGAAACTGCCTTACCTACAATTTTAAATAATGTTATTAAAAAATGTATACAAATGGCTAAAGAGGCAAATAAAATAATTTTAAAATTTTTTATTTTTGTAAGAATGGAGTATTTATAAAAAAAGAATTTACAAAATTTAACGCCACTAAAATGATATATTAAAAAAAAAAAGTAATTTAATTGTACATATGTAGTATAAATTTGATGTCATTCATCGAATATTTGTTTTAAGTCGGGCTGGTTTGAAATATATAGTTTCATAAAATACGCTATTGAAGTTTTCTGGATGCATTCAGCACAGTCTTAAGAGTTGTGCAAAAATTTAAAATGTTATCTGTGAATGTTATTAGGCATTATCTATGCAGTAAAATTTGTAAAAAAATTTGAAATGTGTTCTGTGAATGTTATTAGGCGTTATCTATACAATAAAATTTGCACAAAAATTTAAAATGTTTTGTGTGAATGTTATTAGGCCTTGTCTATGCAGTAAAATTTGTAAAAAAATTTAAAATTTTATCTGTGATGTTATTAGCTGTTATCTATGCAGTAAAATACAGTAATATTGTTTAGTGCTTTGGATGCCGAAAGTGAATACTTGGTACACAGTGCCCTGGAAGAGTTGATGCAAGGACGCACAGTTTTAACCATAGCACACAGACTATCAACAGTCCAAAGAGCTGATATCATCGTATTACTTGAAAATGGAAAAATTGTAGAAAGGGGAAAATTTGATGAGCTCCTTCTTAAAAAAGGCCCCTTTTATCGTCTTGTTCAATTTCAAGGTTTGAAACCATAACACAATATTGTGTCATATTTACTAATGTAGTGTGGCAAATTATTTAATGTAGCATGACAATTTGTGTCACTTTTTGTCTGTAGAATGTCAACGGAAAAGTGACAGCACATCAACACAATGGATAACTTCCAATGTTGTGACATATTTACCATTGTGGCATGACAAATTTAATTATGTTTAAAGTCACTTTTAGCAAAATATTATTTTTCATAATAATTTTATATAAAATGCAGTTTATATGAGTGAATTATTATATGCAGTGCTTATTTTGTGAGCATAAATTTTTAAAAATTAATTTTGATCATGCATTTAATACGATGTTAAAAAAAATGAAATTTAAGTTTGTTTTAAAGAACATATAACTTTTAAAATTTCAGTCTTCAAAAACATTTTACAATGCTTTTGAATCCGGCATAAGATTCTCACGACATTTGTGTAGAATTTCCGACTGTCTAAGTAAATCAAATCAAAATATTTGATCATATTTTTTAAGGAGGTGTTTGATTACAACATAGTCTAAAAAAATGCGAATATTCAAAATTTATCATTTTTAGCTTTTTTTTTTATTTAGATGTAAAAGTGATTTGCAAATTGTTAATCACAATATTTGCATACAGATATTGAAAGTTTCAGTCTAATTTTCCAGAGAGAAAATAATGTTAGAAAATGCTTTGTTAAATTTCTCATATTAAAATTTCTATTATCTTTGTTAAATTTCTAATATTTTTCTCAATATTTCTACATTATTTTGTTGCTTTACATTATTATTATTTTGTTCTCATTAATCATTATTTATATATTAAGGTTTACAATTAATTAGTCTATTAATATACACGCATAATAACAAGAAACTTTGAATAAGCATATAAGTGATTTCAGTTTTTTCATTTTGTACAAAATAGTTTTACCTGCCCTTCTTAATTTATTAATTTTTTTATGATTTCAGTTCACGCTTTCCCTGCTCTCATGCTTGATTTTTAACTCATAATCTTATATCTGGCAGCGTAAAATAAATTATTTTGATACTTAATTTTCTAGTGTTTTAATAACACAATATAGAATAAAATTGTTCATAAAAAAAAATTTAATGTCTTAAATTATTTATTGAATATACGTTAATATGATGAAAAGTGTTAAAAGGAATACAATTCTTCAAAGAGCCCTTGAAGAATTGTATTCTTGCACACTTGATGTATCTAATTTGAGAAAATAAAAAAGTTGATTTTAACCAAATACAATCAATTTTTAGTTATTAAAATAATAAAATGATATCAAAAGTTTATAAAGTAAGTACAAACATATATTTGCATATAATTGTATCATTAATTGTATTTTTATAATGTACAAAGGAGGGCATCATTTACGAAATGTGATGTAATGCAATGGGTTTTTAATTCATCTGAAGCAAAGTTTTCTTTACTCTCTAAAAGGCAATCAGGGGTTACTACACTTAGAACATTTGTTTTAAACATGTTTAAAGTGTTTTTATGCACATATAATAGTTTTTCTCCTTTTAGTCATAAATTCTTTTCGAAAAATTAATTAAATGGTGCTTTAAATAAAAGAAGAAAAAAGTCATGCCTTTGTGTATGTACTTAGTCTTGTAAGTCAATTTGTATTTCTTTAAATTTTTTTAAAATATATAAACCAACTAGATCCTCATATTTTTCAACAGCACCCTTTCTTTCGTTAATTAACTGTAGTTTTATTTCTACCACACTATAAAAAGTAACAAATTATGAAATATATTGATTCTTTTATTTTAAATGTGAATTTATAATTTTTTATTTTCAAACTTTAAGATAATAAATAATTATCTTATCAAAAAACTATTTGTTAAACCCTTGACATAATTTGAAATTTTTTTTATTTATTAATGCATCAATAAGAATGATCTATTTTCATTGTTTAAGAGTATAAATACATTAGAAAAGAACTAAAAAGTGATGCAAATCAAAAACTAAGCTCTTTTTTTGTGAAAAAGTGTTGGTACTTTTTCATAATACCATACACTATATCAATTTATTCTAGTCTAACAAAGAGATTGTTTTGAAATTATGTAAAACGATTTTTTAAACAAATGGAGAACCAGCCCCCTTTTTTTATGAAAAAAGAGATGAAAGATGATGAATTACTATGCATTGTAAGGTTGGATTTTATTGAACACAATTTTCATTGTTAGTTTTATTTTTTGTCTTAAATTTACACTCATAATTTTATTGTTTTGTACATGTGATTATGCAGTGGTATTTTTTTAATCGCAAGCTTTATTTGAGATTTTATTAACACATTTGTTTAAATATTGTTTACAATTTTAATAAATATTTTTATAAGCTCACCATATGTAAAGAAGAGGCGGAAAAAAAACTGTGCAAATTTTACAATTTTCACATATTTGATGCTGTTTTCCCGATTTAAAGTGCCTTAAACTTTAGATATGCCATTTGTGAGCCTAACAGTAATAGTATTTATATGAATATTTATATTGTAGGAAATAAGATTCAATGAGAATACAAATAAGAGTAAAAGAACCTGTTGTGGGTCAGGGGGTCATGGAGATTCCCCAATTTCATGACCAACGCCATTCTAAATAAGCCCCCTGTGCTTGCCGAACTTTCTGGTACCCATTAGTTTGTAGCTGGGTGGGCTTTGAGCTACCATTGTGGATTGAACCCTTAACAATGACAGCCATGGGAGCCGTAGTGGCTCAGGAGATAGAGCGTTCGCCTTCCAATGAGGTAAACTGGGTTGGAATCCTAGTGATGTCTGGTCTATATGAATTCCGCATCTGGCTCGTACTGACTACAATGCTGGCGGAAAATATCCACAGTGGTAGACGGATCATTGGTTAGAGTCCCCTTGCCGTCGTGCTAACTGTGGGAGGTTTTCATGGTTTTCCTCTCCTTGTAACGCAAATGCAGGTTAGTTCCATTGAAAAGTCCTCCATGAAGGCAGATTTCTCCTAATACTTGATCCAGGAGTTTCCTTGTTTTCTGGATTGGGTTCAAAATTACAAGACTACGGAGTTGAACATTGACAATTGTTAACCCAAAAATTGGGTCGGCGGTTCAATAGCGGTTCTAAAATAAAATGACAGTCTACGCTTCAGTCCTGGAGGCTGAAATCTGTCTTGAGCAAAAATCATGAGACTAAATTTCATCAATTAATCTCTTTTCCGTTGGTTATTTAAATTAAAATGTGTCCCACAGTGGACAGTAGAACACCGAAGTCAAGCATCACTGGCTGCAATCAGTAAGCGGGTGGGTGACCACTTCGATCAGCCTGCGTAGGGACCAAGGATGCTCCGTAGTAGTCCTCGTTAAACTGTTCCGTGCTCGCCTTTGAGCCCAGGTCGTCAGGCTACCAAAGCAAGGAAGCCATCCCCTTTGCAGAGGATCAAAATTGGTATGACATGATTATCCCCAGGGACATTTCCCAGACTGTTGCCAATAGCCCATGGTGCAGTTCTAGTGCGCTGATGCTGACAGCTCAGTCCTTAAACCATCTCGGGACAGAGAATACAACACAATATTTTTACTATTTTTTTAATGTTGTTGTCGTCGTTGGCCATTAATGCAAGGGGTGCGATTATTCTTGTTTTCCAGTGTTGCCATGTATGCCCAAGAATTCGATTTCTGCCCAGCTCATACGTCTCACCCATTTATAGGGCGAGCCCATTCAGTCATCCACAGATCATAATTTTGACCTGATCCAGAAAAAGATCAATCTCCAATTCAGTACCCCCAGAGGTCTTGATTTGTTATGGAGGACTTTGTGACCCAGTTACCATTTACTACATGGAGAGTCTTCAGCCGGCTAGATTCGAACTCCCGTTTTCAAGAACTAGAGCCTTCATATTCAACATTANTTGCCATGTGTGCCCAAGAATTCGATTTCTGCCTAGCTCATACGTCTCACCCATTTATAGGGCGAACCCATTCAGTCATCCACAGATCATAATTTTGACCTGATCCAGAAAAAGATCAATCTCCAATTCAGTACCCCCAGAGGTCTTGATTTGTTATGGGAACATGGAGGACTTTGTGACCCAGTTACCATTTACTGCATGGAGAGTCTTCAGCCGGCTAGATTCGAACTCCCGTCCCTCTATTTTTTTAAATAAAATTTTAGATTAAAAATAAATAACATAAAAAAATTAAATATACTGATTTTAAATGTTTTTATTTTAATCAAAATATGTGATATTGCACTTCTTGTCACTCCTCCCTTGTCACAAAACCCTTCCAAGTGTGACTTCGTTCATGGCTCCTAGGCAACTCAAAGAAGAAAGGTTAGCATATGCTAATTGTCACTGACCTACAAGCTAACTATTATTATTGCGTCTATTTGTATGTTGTTAAAAAATGCAAATTGATTTCTTAGAAATGAATTATTTTATTTATGTTGATCAAATGAATATTTCATTTCATGTCATTAGTTTATTTGTTGTGCAATTTATTTATAATAAATTACTTATTAGCTTGTTGATAATTTCTATTATTCCTTACAGTTTAATGAAATTTATAGTTAGATTTTTAACATTGATGTAAATAATTTTCATGTTCTTTGATTTTAATAAAGTTTAATTTGACTTTTAATGTTTTGAAACTTTTTATGTTTCATAATTTATCCTTGTTTTATTCATTCATATTTTACGCTATTATTTTCCTACCTTTTTTTTTGTTTCAAAATTAATTTGACTCATTCTTTCACAGTAAACATAGAAAATCATTGTGTTTATGCTGCTAACAAGTAAAAACATTAATTAGATTGGTAAAATCCTTTATAAGAGCTGTTTCATATTTTTTTAAATCAAAAATATTCATCACAACTAAGGTAGGAAAGGTCTAAAATTAAGTCTGGGTAAACAAGGAGTGGAACTTCTTGAACTTCAAAATAAATGCTACAGAAATATGCGTTCAAAATAAGGCAGAATACAAAAATTAAATTATTAAAAAAATATTTCATAGTTTTAAGAACATAGTTTTCTAGTTTTTTGTTTTATTTTAAAAGAAAATTAAATTATGAAATGTTAAACTAAAGCAAAATTCTTTAAATACTCTTTTAAGCTTATTTATTTTCACATAAAAAATATTAATATTGGTAATATAAGATTAATTCATTTATATAGGAGATGAAAATGATCTTTTCCTCAAAACTTCCTTTGAAAAATGTGCAAAACTGTAATACACTTCGATGTTTAGTTACTTAATTCACTTTTTTGCTAAGTAGTAAATTAAAAAGGAAGTTTTTTATGGTGGGAAACTAAATATCTTATTTGCTTTTCATTTGGCACTCAGAACTGCTGTCTGCAGTTATGCCACAATACTCCCCCTCTTGAATTTAATGAGGAATAGAATTCGATGAACAGTTGCTGTTATTTGCTCTATTTGCAAAAGTCCGGGAGAGCTGTATTAAGTTCACCTAGTTTTATTTTAGCGTTTGTCGCGAGAGCTTTATTAAGTTCACGATTTCGTGCGTGGCCTCTCCTGTGTTGCTACTAGCAGTCGAGTGTGTAAAGGATCCCGTTGTGTGTAAATGAGACTGAGAAGCAACAGCGCGAGGAGGACGATGACGCAGTTACATATAGCAAGTTAACTATTTAATGTGGACCATTCATAGCGATACTTTCGATGTAGGCGAGTTCATATCACGCCCGGGTCACCAATGTGGGGAAAGTAGAAATCGACATTGCCCAGCCTTCATCTATCAAAAGGTACCTGCAGAGTGAATTGTGTAAGCATGACTAATATATTAGTGAATTGATGGTTAATAATCGTAGTGGTAGTTACGCCACACTTCTTTTATTTACCGGTTTTAGGGCATGTTGGGAATAGTGGCCGTCATGCTACAAACAACGAAGCTGTAGTCGCATAGTTTGTAGTGTATATGTATGTTTT